GGAAAACGGGACTGAGGACCGAAGGGGTTGTGGCCAGCCCTGGAAGGGGCAGGGCCAAGGGCAAACAGCCACGAGGGGCGGGGGCTGGAGGCGCTCAAAAGAGGAGAAGGCCGAGTCCCAGCTCCCGCCGCTGGTCCCGCTGGAAAGTGAGGGCGCCTTGGACGGCTAGGGCAACCCTATCAGGTTGACTGTGTGAAATGCAGCGTGCCGCTAGGCGCTCTCCAGACTTCCCCTTGACTCCAACAGGCTGTGACCTCGGCGTGGGGGGTCTGAAATACGTGTGGGCGCGGGTGCGGGGGAGAGGAGATGGCCACGCGTAAGAGCAGAACAGACGCGGAGGGTCAGAGAGCAGCTTTATTAAGCAAGCTGGAACCCACCCCCCCGGGCTCGGCGCCAGGGCGGAAGGTCTAGGGGTGCCGTTCAGGCCACGTCAACGCGAGCGAAGCTCTGGTCCATGCCCAGGCTGTTCTCCACGTACACCTCGTACTTTCCGCTGTCCTGGGGAGTGGCTCGGCGAATGGTCAGCGTCGTGGTGGTGCTGCCGATCTCGAAGAACACCCTGCGGAGGGGCGGTGGGGAGGAGGGCGGAGCCGCTGTCGGTACTCGGCGCACGGGGCCGGGCTCCTTACCCAGCTCTGTTCCTCGCCGCCCAGTCCCCGCCCCCGTCACTCCCGCCGCATTTCTGGGCTCAGTCCCACCCGGGTCCCAGCCCAGGCCCTGCCCTTGCCACAGGTCCCGGCCCTCGCCTGTCGTCCTCCTCGATGTCCTCCCCGTCCTTGGTCCAGCCCACGTCGGGCGCGGGCTCTCCCAGGATCTCCGCAGTCAGCGTCACAGTGGTGCCTTTGCGCGCCTTAGTATTGTCGGGTCCCTTCTGAATCTTCGCCGGGACTAGAGGAAGGGAAGGGGAGCGAGACCCCCTGAAGGACCCGGAGATGAGGCACGACAAGGGCATCACCTCCCCAGCTGATACTCGGCACTAAATACAGATGCATTTAAACTCTCAGTGTGACGTTGAGCGAATCATTAGCCTCTCTGGTTTCGTCTCCTCGGCTGTTAAAGGGACTTATCCCTATCCCTCCTACTTCTCGGGATCGAATGGAGGAGGATCAAGAGCAATAAAGCGAGCGAAAGCCCCTGAAAGTTCACACATCTCGCGGTGCCTCAGACACCGCTGCGGGTAGTGGAAATTGCCCAGAGTTGGAAGCCAGAAGACCCGGGTCTAATCCTGGCTCTGCCCCTGGCTTGCTGTGTGACCTTGGGGCCCTGGAGCCGCGTGATGGAAGCCCACCGCAGACTGCTCTGCCTGGGTGGGGCTGGATCCCGAGGTAGGAAAAGACTCATTTGGCTGGCGCAGCGATGCGCCCCAAGCTGTGCCCGGGTCTGAGCTGGTGGGGACCCTATAGCTAGGCCCAGGGCTAAACACGGTCAGCTGGACCCGTATGCGGGCTCTGGCTGAGTGGAGCTGGTCTGCTCCCTGGCGCGGCGCCCGGGGCGCGCGTACCTTCCACGAGGATGCGCGCCGAGTCGGAGCACTGGCCAAAGGGGTTGGTGACGTTGATGCTGTACTGGCCCAGGTCTGCCAGCTCGCCGTCCCGCACCACCAGTGCCACCACGTCAGGGTCCTCGAACACGTAGCGGTATTTGGGCCCGTCACGCAGCTCCTTGCCGTCCTTACTCCAGCGGATGAACGGATCCGGGAAAGCCGAAATGCGGCAAGTGAGCTTGGCCGCGCTGCCCTCGATCAGCACCACGTCCTTCAGAGGCTCCAGCACCCGCGGCGGCCCCTTCTCGCGCAGCTCCTTCCGGGACCTACCCGCGGGCCGAGTCAGGGCCCAGAGCTCTCAGGACAGGCCGGGCCAAAGCCCTTTCCTCGAGCGCATCACCTCCTGCCTGCCCCCTGGGCCCGCCAGACCCCTAAACGTGGGGCTTGTGGGGAAGAGGACTGCTCCTGAACTGCTGCCCTGATCGGATGATTCATTCCTGCCGGCCACTCCTCCACACCTCAGTAACGACCCTCACCTAAGACCAGTCATTTCAGAGGTTCCTGACGTAGCTCAGGGTTCCCCCAAACCCCATTCAAGAATGTACTCTCTGCAGCTCCCTTCCTCCACAGGACTCCGGGGCTCCCTCTCACCTGTGGCCCCGATAAGAAGCCTGGATGCGAATGGCCGCACTCTGGACCTGTGGGTCATTGATGTCCAGGGTACATCCAGGAGGTGGGGCAGAAGCCACTGGCTTTTTGGCAGGAGCTGCTTTAGACATCTGGGGAGTGGGCAACAAATGTGGGAGTCCAGATTGAGACAGAGACTCCCACCTTCAGCCCTTTTCCTCCCTGGTCAGAACATTCAGTGGGGTGGGGGAATGGGAGTGTCTTCGGCTTCTCTGAGGATCGGACTCACCGTGGAGGGATCCACCTAGGACTTGAGTCGACTGGCTGGGTTGCAGGCAGCACAGAGCCCTTCTGGATGGCACAGTAGGGGTGCAGGCAGGTGCTCAGTCCTGGGCTCGGTTTTATACATCGCTCCCCTCCTTGCCTTGTTTGGCGTGGTTGCCCCAAGCCCCCCGGGACCCCATCCCCCACCCTCTGACCCAGGCAGGCTCTTTTTTTAGCCTGCAGATGCCTGGGATGCTGGCTCAGCCGCTGGGCTAGGCCCGGTGGGGGGAAACCTGAGCAGCTCTGGGGTAAGCCTCGCGTCAGCACCTGGACAGCTGGACAGCTGGATGCCACCCTGTCCCCTCCCAGAGCAGGGGGTATCCATTGGACTCCCAGGAGGACCAGATTCAGCCCCTAGCTGACGAGACATCCAGCTTTCTGGGGCAGCTTCTCACTCAGATTGGGCTCTGGACAGTCAGGCAACATGCCCTGTTAAGGTGTTTGAGTGTTTGGAGGGGGGTTGTCCCTGAATAAAACCAGAGTAGCATCAGGCTTCAGGGCCCCTACAGCTAATGACAACAGGGCCACATGGCTGTCAAGACCAATCCAGAAGCCCTTTACCCTTTCCCTACCCACCAACCCCAGGAGTCCAGGGTTGTCACTTCCTCACTGTGCCCCCTGGCGGTAAACTGAGATAAACCAGGAGGGACGGGAAAGATTAGAAGAGCAGCCCCTCCAAGCCATCCCCATCTCCACTCACTCTCCTTGGTGTCACATGGGAGGGGCTGTTTAGACTGCACTGTCCTTGGAGATTAGTACCACTACTGGTCCCCAACCCTAGGTTTGCCCAAGTCCTTTTTGGGGACATAAATTGGTGCATAGGAACATCAAACCACATGGGGTGAAGGGGTTCAGTTAACCCATCTGGGGATTGCCTGGAAGCCAGCTGCCCAGGCTGGGCACCGGGTACAAACATGACTTCCATTCATTGGAAATACCTGCCCTAGTGTGGGGGCACTGTCACCTTTTGATCAGAGCAATTTTGACATAGCTCTGCTGACATAAATTACCTTTGCTCCTCTGGGTTTGGAGCAAGCAGTTCACATGCCATTTCCAATGGAGATGGGAAGGGAGTTCAAGATCAGCAGGGGGACAAGAGAGGAATTTTACCATTTATCAAGATATGAGTTCAGGCACCTCATTTTTATACAAAACACTTGCAGTGTGTAGGGGATTGGAGATTCTCACAGGCAAACTGTATATCTTCATCGCTAACATGACAGGTTGGCAAGGCGTCTTTCTGGTCCCTTCCAGCTGGCTTTAACATCCTGTTATTTTATGACAATGGGGCCTGCCTCTGCCCTGTTGTCCTGGGAAGCCAGAGAGGCTGGGCCAGGCTGGGCAAAAGGATTGTCTGAGCTGGAACCAAGGGACCCCCAACCTCCATCCGCAGCACAGCAGTGTCAACTCTCTCTGCCCTGGTCAGAGGCTTTGTTCCTTTTATTTTGCCAAGAACAGAGTTTTCAAGGTGGGATGAGGGCAGCATTTCCTCTGGAGACAAGGAGACCTGGGCCCTCCCCCACCCCTCATCCCCAACCTCAGGGCAGGGCAGCTCAGTCCTAAGTCCCAGTGACCATTCTGTGGCACTGCAGGGAGTAACTAGAGTCGAGTGCTTTAGCACCTAGCGGACCTCCTAACTTACCATGCAGACAAGAAGGTCCAGGCTGGTGTGTCCCTCAGCCCTAGGAAAACGCTGGACACAGCAGACAAGAGCACTCCCAGCTGGTGCTCTCCATGTGCTCTGATCTATGCTGTGACATGGAGGGGCCGAGGGGTGTGGGCCTTTTCTTTCTTTTTGAGATGGAGTATTCCTCTGTCACCCAGGCTGGAGAACAGTGGTACAATCCTGGCTTATTACAACCTCCACCTCCCAGGTTCAAGCAATTCTCATCCCTCAGCCTCCCAAATAGCTGGGATTACAGGTGTGTACCATCATGCCTGGCTAATTTTTGTATTTTTAGTAGAGACGGGGTTTCATCATGTTGGCCAGGCTGGTCTTGAACTCCTGACCTCAGGTGATCTGCCTGCCTCGACCTCCCAAAGTGCTGGGATTATAGGGGTTAGCCACTGTGCTGGCCCTGTCCTGGTTTCTTCTGCAGCTCCTCATACCACCTACTTTCGCCAACTATTGGGATGAAACCCACTCCACTCCAGGGGTCAGGACCAGAGCTCCTGCCTGTCTTCTGGGCAGAGTGAATGAGGCTGAGCCAGGACTGGGGTGAGAGCTGGCCTATTTCAGAGCCCAGCATCCCCACACTGTGATGAGGGAACATGTGACAAGAGGTGGGGACTACCAGAACCTGATTTCGGGGGTTCAGTGGATCTGCCAGCATTCCAGAAACTGTAGGGGGAGAAGCAGACCACAGTCTCCCCTCCTTCCAGGAATAAGGAGAGGTGAGGAGCCAGGAGGATCAGGGTAGGGGGTTGGAAGGACCCAAAGTGCTACCTGGTATATTCCCTAATGTGTGTGTTGGGGAATGCACAGAGAGGGCTCAATGCCCCGGAACTCACCCTTCCCCAGCCATCCTCCCCTCCAGCCGTCCCTCTCCATAGACACACACACAGGTTCTGCTGCTTGCCATTTTTATTTCCTTGTGACAGACAGACAGCTGGATGGCTGGGAGGGATGGTCAGGACAACATAGGCAGTAGGGATCAGATGGAAGGGGAAACTTCATAAAAGTCAATAAATAAATAAATACGAATGGGAAGAAGGCCAAAGGCCATGGAGGGGTGGTGGGGGCCAGCAGAGCACACCCGGGGCTGTATCCACTGGACAGGAGGAGAGCGAGTGTGAGTGACCGCTGGCCTCCAGCTTTCCACGTTTCTCCTCCGTGGGATGCTGGTAGCTGGGCCACCCCACCTCCACCTGAGTCCTCTCTTCTCCCTCCACCGCCTCGCTGCCCTCTCTCACATCCTGGCCCTGGGCCCCTACCACGGTCTCTGTGTCCTGCGCCCACTTTGCCACACTGACTCGCAGCCTACTGTCCTGACACCCTGGGCTCCTTCCTCTTCCTCCTCTCCAGCCATGCCCCTCGCCTTGGTTCTCCCTGAGATGCACTGACCCCCAACCCAGAACCTTCCTAGAGCCTCCCTCTTTCTGTCCCTTGACTTCTTTTCCTCTCTACTTCCCATTCCCCTCTTGTCCCTCTGCCTGTTCCCACCCTGCCCAGCCTGGCCAGCGGGTCTCCCACTCTGGCTCTGGCCTGGGGTGGCATCAGGCCAAGGCCCTGGGGTTGCTGTCCTTGCAGGTCTATGAGGTAAGAGCCCAGCCAGATGTTTCTGCTGGTGGTATCCGAAGCCCCAGGCCCACCTGGCTCAGCGTGGGCCCTGGAATGTCCCGTGGCATTGGTGGGAACCCCAGTTGAAGCCCGAGGCCTGGCTGTGGTCCGTGCCTCTAGGGGCCACCAGGGTAGGAGCGCAGCAGCACCTTGTGGCGGGTGGCGGTCTCAGCCCGGCGCCGCCGCTGCTCACCCAGGAACTCCTTGAGCCGATTGGTGGTGAAGGTGAGCGTCTGGCGGCGCAGCTTCATCAGGTAGGCGTCCTGCAACCACGGGTGGGCCAGGCAGTCCTGGAGGGAGGGCCGGCTCCTGCCAGGCAGAGCCAGGGATCATGAGCCTGGAGGGATGGCCCTGGGAGCTGCCGAGGCTCTGTCCTCCTCCACACCCATGTCCCAGTCCTGGATCCCCCCATACATGTGTGATCTTGGACAGCTCAAGAGCTCAGTTCCCAAATCTCTGGAATGGGAACAGTGGTTCTGCCTCACATAGGGTTGCCTTGGGCTTTAAATGGTAGGTAGCATGACCATTTAGTAGAAGCAGCAGACTTGTTCCTAGGAGCAGGGGAGGAGCTGGGGGATCTGTGGCACAGGCCAGGCCAGGGACAGGTAACTCAGGGGATGGCTGGTGTGGAGCTCACTCACCAGGGATGTACTGAGAGGACCTTTCGCAAGAAGAGGGTGGCGCTCTGGGATGTATTGGGGTATAGCTGGAAGGCATCAAAGCGGCCCCCCATAATCCGAGCCTCCATTTCCTGGGGGTCTGGCTCATAGAATGGGGAGCGTCCACTGAGCCTGTTGGGAAAGATAGCTTGATTGACATATGCAGACTGAAGATCAACACCCAGACCCGGGAGAACATTAGTGTCAGGTGCACAGGGCTCAGGGCCCTGCTACTCTGCACCTGACTGTATGTGCGTGGCATGGATGTGTGTACAGGGGAGGTGAGGTACCAGGGAGAGAGTGCTGGCAGAAGGTGAGTCTGGAAGCTCACTGTGTAGGCAGAGTGGGCTGCGGTGGGGTAGGGGACACTCACATAATGTAGGTGAGCACACCCGCTCCCCAGATGTCTGTGGCAGAGCCGATGGGTTCTCCCTTCACCATCTCCGGAGCTGACAGGAGACAGAGCCCAAGCTGACCCAGCTTCCTGGTGATGGGGAAGTGGGGGCAGGGGAGGTCCCTGGGTGCTTGAGCAGCAGGACAATGCCCAGGTCACCAGACCATGGGAATGACCAGAGTGGCAGGCTCTGAAGGCCAGTAGGCAGGACAGAGGTAGTGGCATACCCCAAGAGACATGTGGGACACCTGAGGAATTAGCCCAGGCACTAAATGATGGGGGTCCCCAGAACTCCAGAGGGGCTGAGGAGCAGGGTGACAAGCTCCCTTGGATCAGCTCCAAGGTAGGGCTCCCATTCACAATGAATGTGGCTGATACCAAGATTAAGAGCCTTTGAGGCCGGGCACAGTGGCTCATGCCTGGGATCCCAGCACTTTGGGAGGCTGAGGTGGGCAGATCGCCTGAGGTTGGGAGTTCAAAACAAGCCTGGCCAGCATGGTGAAACCCTGTCTCTACTAAAAATACAAATATTAGCTGGGCATGGTGGCAGGTGCCTGAAATCCCAGATACTCAGGAAGCCGAGGCAGGAGAATCCCTTGAACCTGGGAGGCAGAGGTTGCAATGAGCCGAGATTAAGCCATTGCACCCCAGCATGGGCAACAGAGAGAGACTCCGTTTCAAAAAAAAAAAAACCCTTCAAAATCAGCCTAGCTGGCTCTAATTCCAGACCTGCCCATTCTAGCTATGGGACCCTGGGCGACCCCAGGCTAAACCTGCCTGGCTCTCCATTGCCTCATCTGTAAAGAGTGGCTTGTAGTCCCACACTAAGAAAGAGAGATAATGAACCTCAAGCATTTAGCAGATTGCTCAAATTGTAGCTGATTTTCCTTATTTAAATAAAATAATAGATTCTCCTGTCTTTTCAGCGTTAGTAAATCCTGGCTCTAGCATTTATAATTGTCCGACTGGATAAACCCTTACCTTCAGTACATCTCAGTTTCCTCATCTATAAAAGGGGGCTAATATTATGCCAAACTCCAGGTTATTCTAAAGATCAGTTGGAAGAAAAAGCCAAATACTTCATCCATTGACTGCATAAAGTAATCACTCGATAAGTGGCACATACGTGGGTGAAGTGGGGTGAGCCCTGGCTGCTGTCCCTTTGGCAGTGCCCTGTCCCCACCCTGGCTGGCAGCTGGTCCCCTCACCCATGAACTCCAGAGTGCCCGTGCGGTGGCCAAGAGGCCGAAGGGCCTGAGGGTTGTAGGGCTGCGCACTGCCGAAGTCCACGATCTTGAGGGCGTTGTCAGGGGCCAGCAGCAGGTTGTCCGGCTTGATGTCCAGGTGGAGTACATGGCGGCTGTGAAGGTAGTCCAGGCCTTGTAGCAGCTGTACCACGTAAGTGGCCACGTCATCCTCGGAATACCGGAATCTGGGAAGGCAGGGGTGGAGCCGTTGATACCTGGCCCAGCCTCCCCTCCCTCTCCCTCGCTACTCCCCCAGAATACCCAGCTACCTGTCACTGAGCCCACAGAGGAGCTCCCTGTTGCCGCAGCTCTCAGCAATGAGCACGAGGTACCGAGGGGTGATGTAGGCCTCGTGCAGCGACATGATCCGCTCGTGGTGCAGGGTCCGCAGCACCTCATACTCCTGTAGGACCCGCCGCTTGCCCTCAGCAGCATAGGGCACGATCTTGGCCACGAACGTTCGCCCCGTGGCGTTCTCCCGGCAGGCTCGCACAACACCAAAGCGGCCCCTGTGTTGGGGAGGGGAGGGGCACCACAGGCTCAGAGGAGAGGAGGGGGACACTTCCATAGGGAGGACTAACACAGGGACCCCCTAGGGGTAAGAATATAGTGGTTCCAGGGTAGGCTCCAGAGTTCAATCCTAGAAAACCAGGGTTCAAGTCCCAACTTCACCACTCACTGGCTCTGTACCTTAGGTAAATCCCACAGCTTCTCTAACCTCAGTTTTGCCACCTGAAATGGGTGACACTAATAGCACAGTGTCCCTCAGAGTTGTGAAGAATCAATGAGACCACATGGCTAAAGCACTGAGTACACTGTCTGACACATTTGAATTCAATCGTTCTAAGGACCTAAACCTCAGCACCTCCCCCGACCCCAGCCAGGACAGTCTGATCTCTCCGAAGCCACGTGCTCCAGACTTTGACCCACACTCCTCTCTGTCCTCTCCCCTTCCCCAACCTTGCTTGCCTGGCTTTCTCTTCCAGGAAGGTGTAGGGTTTCTGAGGGGGGCCCTGGCGAAGAGTGGTGACCTCTGGCCTGGGAGAGCTTTGGGGACTACTCCCAGCAGAGCTGACCACCTCCTTGGCTGGGCTGAGGCTCCGCACAGTCACCTTGGTAGGCTCAGGAGGGGGCTCAGGGGCTGGGGGCTCTGGGGCTGGCGGTGCAGACACGAAGGAAGTCACCATATACACAGGAGTGGAGGAAGACACTGGTTTAACCCCTTGAGGAGTGGAGGCTGGGGTCGGGTTCCCAGTGTCAAGGACAAAAGACTTGGGCTCACTTGGGGTGACCTGGGCACTGGGTAGGGGGGGCTCTGCTTGCCGGGCAGCCTGCAGGCCCCTGTGTCTTCGTGGGGGAGTTTGGGGTGGTGGACCCACAGCCTTGAGTGAGGACAAGGCCTGGCTGGGGGGTATGGGGGGAGATGAGGGGCTGACAGTGACTGACGGGGGCGTGGGGGCAGCAGGAGCTGGGGGCGGGGCCAGTGAGGTAGGAGAGTCAGGAGGCGGGGCCCTGGCTGGCCCTGAGGTGACAGGGGCCTCTTGGTGGGCAGCAGATGGCACAGCTGAAGAATCTAAGAGACAAAGAAAATCATCACCATGGTGCCTTGGGGCAAAGCCATTGTGCTCCACAAGATCCCTAGGCTCAGGGCCCCCTTCCTCCCCCCAGCCCACACCTTCGCACTGACCTTGAGTACCCCTGACAAAGACCTTCTCAGAAGGGTTGCTGAAGGGCCCCTGCCCAGCACGGTTGGCACAGGCCACACGGAACCTCACAGTCACACCAACTGGCAGGTGGGTCACGTTGTAGTAACAGTCGGGGATGCCTGAGCTCACAGGGTGCCACACAGACTCCCCTATAGGCAGTATAGGGGAGGGGCTGAGGCCACAGAAGGGGTGGCCCCCACTGCCAGTGCTATCTGTAGAGCCCGGGAAGGCACTGGCCGTCCCAGACTCCTCTCCCCTCCCTCTGCCACTCCCCCCATCCTCCCCCTGCCCCATCCTCACCATCCACTCGCCGCTCCAGCGTGTACGTGCAAGGTGCCCGGCTGTCTCCTGGCTTCCACAGCACCAGCGCCGTGTCCTGGTAGGTCTGGGGCACCTCCGGAGGAGCTAGCTTTGCTGGGATTCCTGACAAAAGAAAGAAGAGTCCCAGTGAGCCCCTACTAAGAGCTCTTTGGCCCCGCCCCTCCATCCCCATCACTTCCCCCCTTGGGCCCTAGGCTCACGGGCCACAGCCACGGTACAGGAGCTGGTGATGCTGCCCAGGATGTTGCTGGCCGAGCACTCATAGAGCCCGGCATGCCTCTTGCCCGCTCGGGGGATGCTGAGCAGCTGCCGCCCGTCTTTACAGGACACAATGATCACTGATGGCTCTGACCGCAGGGACTGCTTGTCTGGGGACAGGGAGGAGCAGGAGGAGCTGCTGAGTGAACTAGCACATGTCCAGGGCCCCTCAGTTGCTCCCCACTCCAGCATCCCCCCAAACATGCCCAACCCCAACCCCTGGCCTAGTCCCTCCCATCCCCTGGGTTCAGGGCCACTTGCTGGTCTCCCTTTCTGTGGGAGGCACAGTTCCTTACCTTTCATCCAGGAGATGTGTGGGGCAGGGCAGGCTGCCGGCAGGCAGAGCAGGGTGGCTGCCTCTCCCTCCAGCAGCACCTGGTCCTTGAGTTTGATGTGGAAGACTGGGGGGAAGTCTGGAGGAAAAGCAGAGACAGCCATCTTTCTGTGGGGACCCTGGCCCACTTACCGCCGGGGGAGGGGTGGAGAAGGCTTGCAAACAGCCGGCAGGAAGCAGCGTGAAACCTTGTCTCTTCCCAGGCAGATGTGGAAAGTAGCACCCCACACCATGCCTTCTCTGGGGCAAGCATCACTTTCCCCAGGCCCTCGCTGTGTGCAGAACTGCCTTTTCCTTGCACTATTGACAATGCTACTTATGTTATGGGTTTGTAAATCACTTAGGGCAGGGCCTGGCACTAAGTGGTCTATAAGGATTTGTTAAATAAAATAAAAGCAAAGGAAATACTGAAAACAGTAATGGTTAAGATCCTGTGAGACCCACCCTCTCTGGGGCACTGTAGGACAAGTGAGAAGAGAATTGAGAGGAGGTAGCGGTCTCAGCTGAGAAGGGACCGAACAAGGAATGTTACCGAACAAGGAATGTTCTATCAGAGTGTGCAGTCTCAAAAGAGCTGTAGTCTAGGAAAACTGTGGGCAGATCCTGGAAGCATGTCGGCCTCCTGGCCCCTCTTCCCAGCTGCTGTAGGTCTCTATACTCCTTCAGGTCAGCTGAGTGGTGAGAGCTTTTGAAGGGGCAAAAGACAGTATCTGCAGGACCTTGGGCTAGTTATTTACCCTCTCAGAAGCTCCATTTCTAATCCGTAAGTCGAGGAAAATAATACCACGCCCACAGGATTCTTGCTGTGACAATTACCAGGCATGTAAAGTATCTGGCATAGAGTAACTGATCATAAATACTTGCTTGTCTTGTTGTTACCATTATCTTAGTAATATGGACAGCAGAGAAGCCTGGAGCAGACCCCCAGAGAAAGAGGCTGTTTCAGCAAAGCAGAAAAGCTGCCTTCACAGCTAGCTGGTGGCTATGCACACAGCGGGGCTAGGGATACGACCAGTCTTCCTCCAATGTAGCCAGCCTGTGACTTAGTGCCCTGAGGATTTGAGTGCATGTTCCCTGAGAATGTCCCTTTAGAAAAATCCCAGTCCTGCCATGGGTGGAGGGTGGGGATAGGGGAGGCCTCGGGGGTGGATTTTATTCACCTGGGCAGAGAAAGCTGAGGAGCCCTGGGAGCCCCAGCTGCTGCCTGTCTGAAGAACTGTAGGGGACTGGGAGTGGGGATGAGCCAGAAAGGAGAGGAGTACTCAGCAGGAGTGGTGATCAGGATGGCAGTGTGCCCCCCTTCCCACTGTACCCCACTGTACTCCCACACTGAGGCTCCTACAAGGCAATGTGAACTGTTTCTCAATGGCTGCCTCCAGGCCAAGTGAGAGTACTGGGTAGCAGGGAGAGAGAGGCCCAGAGGAGAGGTGAAAGTGACCCCGGCCCAGCTCTGCCAGCCCCACCCCCATTCCCAGGGGCCAGCCCTGATTGGTAAAGTGGAATGGGACAGCCTTGTTTCTGCAAGGAACAGGGAGCGGATGAGGTAAGGGGACACTGCCTCGGCAGGAAATCAGCTGCATAAGCAAAACTGGGCTGGGAGGGAGGCCCCAGGTGGGAAGGGATCAGCTGTCCCCAGGCCTCTCTGCCGGCTGATCGCTTTCTTTCCCCCTGATTCTCCACCCTCCCTTCTCCTCCCCACCAGCGGCCCTTTTCTCTCTCCTTTTCTCTCACTGCAGCCCTCTTTGCCCTGGCCAAGGCTGGATACAATCCCTTCAAGCCCAGCTGAGGCAAGGCTCGACAGTCACTCCATTCTGAGTTTTACCAGGAAATGGGGGAAGAACAGGACAGGTGGCTTGTCAAGATCCTGCACACAGCCCGGCTTCATGGCCCCACTCCTTCCCTGCATGCTGCTCTGTTAAACCCAACCTCCCAAAGCCTTTGCTTGTTGCCCTTGAGTAATGCCCCTTTTTCAGAGGGGATGGGGTGATCCCACATGGGGAATGCTTCCCTATCTGGAGCTCCAGGACACTCAGGCAGAGAAACAGAAGAGGCCAAAGAGCTAGGCCAAAGAGCTCCGCAGGCTGCTTTTCTGTGCAGAAGGCTCAGAGAGGGGCAGTCATGTGTTCAGAGCTGTAGAGTAATGGAGACTTAGGGGGCTCAATCTGGGTTGTGGTCCTCTAGGTGGGTGAGAAAGTGAGTGTCTTTGGGTACAAACCCAAACACATACATCTAAAGGGGGACTGTGGGGGCAGGAGGGCCCCAACTTGAGCTCCTTTAAAAGTACAGCTAGTTACAAAACCTTCCAGGGTCCCCCAGGAGAGAGGAGGCCAGCCCCAGACAGACATAAGTATGGTGCCCTGAAGCCATTTCTGGGACCTGGCTGCAGAAGGTCACACAGTCTGACTTCAGCTGCTCCACTTACTAGCTCTGCGACTTGGACAGATTCTTAGCATTGCTAAGCCTGTCTCCTCACCTGTACAGTAAAGACAATGGCACCAATATTTCCCAAACAGTGCTGCAGGAGTGAATGAGGCAATGCTTGTAAAGTGTTTAATAGAACACTTAGCTTCTCTAATGACTGGCAGCTGCTGCCATTATAGTTGTCCCAACAGACCCCTTCCACTAGGCTCATCAAGGTGGCCCACCTCCCACCAGCCATGACTGCTCCCTGATGGGGGCAGGGGGGCATGGGGGGGCGGTGGAGGGTCCTCACCCAGCAGGCCTCTATTACCTGACTCACTGCGCACGTACTGGTGACCCAGCTCCTCCTGAACACTGGCAGAGAGGTTTGGTTGGGATAACCCCTTGTCCTTCCGAAGCCGAGAGAGGCCCCAGCGGAGCCGGCTTCGGCTTTCCCCTGGGGCTGTGAAGACCCAGGCCCGTGAGCATTTGCTCAGTCAGTACCAGCAGTTTCCCACCTCCCTGCAGCCCTCAGCCCAGAGAACCAGAAGGAACACCTAGCCCCACCCTGCCCCGCTGCCATTCCACCCTCTGGGTCTCTGTCCGCCCCTGACGGGAGTCCCCAGCCCTCTGCTCCTCCCACAGCCTCTCTCCAGCGCACCCCACCCTCCTCTGCACCTGCTGCCCTACCCCTGCCCCTCCTCACCTGAGGATCCCGATGTAGCGCTGGCCTCGGAGCCCAGGGACTCGGCGGAAGGCGTGGTGGCGCTGGCCTGGGCGGCCAACTGGTGCGGAAGGCCGAGGCGCCGCAGACTCTCGCCCTCGGACGTGGCCCTGCGAAGCCGTCCGAACAGCGGTGTGCTGCGGCCCGAGGCGCCCCCCGAGTCCTCGCTGCTGCCACTGCGCTGCAACCGGCTCGACAGCCGCTCCAGGGTGGAGCTCAGCCGCCTGCGCATCGCCAGCACCGGGGAGCCCCGCGCCGAGCTCCCGCCCTCCGAGCTCTCTCCATCCCCGCCGTGGGCCTCCCAGGCCGGGTGGCGCTGCGCGGGAGGGGTCCGCCGCAGCCGCTGGGACAGTGACAGCGAGAGGCGGCGGACGAGGCCCGGCTCCCCGACCGCCCTGAGGTCCTGCACCGAGCGCGAGCGCTCGGTCCGTCGCACCAGCTCCAGCGGGGTCCCTGCCGGGCTGGGCCGGTATATGCCATCCTCCTCCTCGGCCCCGCGGAAGGGGCCGCGCTCCTCCGAGCGCGAGCGGCTCAGCAGCCGCAGCCCCCGCGACAGGGGCGACTCGCGGCTGCGCTTGAACTTGGCCTCGAACACGGCCTCTGACTCCAGGTTCTCGATGCTGCTGCTGAGACTGCTGCCTGGCCTGGGGGGCACTGTGGGAACCCGGGCTTTCTCGGCTAGCACCAGGGGCTCCCGGGCTGAGGGCATGCGCTTCTCCGGGGCTCCTGGAGGCGGGGAGGCCACTCTGGCGAAGACAGCAGCGTGGGGCTTGGGCTCTAAAGGCGGCGCGGCAGGGCCCTGCTGGGGGGTCTGGGCATGGCCCAACAGCTGGAGCGACTGCATGATCTGGGCATAGGGCGTCAGGGGCAGCGCTAGGGTTTGCAGGACCTCGGTGGGTGGTGCAGGCTTGGAGGCTCGGACTGGTTCTGGCCTGGTCTCTGGGGCCTTGTCTTGGGCAGGCTGGGGTGCGGGGGGCTGCAGAGCATCACTAGGTGTGGTGGCAGAAGGCTCTGCAGACTTAGGGGCACTAGGTTTAGGGGCACTGGGTTTGGGGGCGCTGGGCCGTGCAGGGCTGGAGGGTTGGGCCTCGCTGAGGGCAGACAGGGAAGGAGACTCCTGTAGCCTGCGGGCCCCAAGCCTGGCCACGGGGATCTCCAGGGGCGCCCCCGCGCGGCGGTGCCGGCCCCGGGGCTCCGCCTCACCCTGCGAGAAGCTGCTGCTCTTTTGCAGGCCCCGATTCTCGAGTGGGGGCTGGTGGTGGGGCGCTGCCTCGCTGGAGGCAGCTCGTGCCATCCGGGGATCCCGGGCACGACCCCCCAGGCTCTCGAGCAGGGGACCCCTGAGGCCGCTGACTTTGCCATCCTCAGGGCCTCCCCGCAGCAGCCGCTGGCGCAGGGCTTGCAGCCTCTGGGCGTACTCGCCCTCACCCAGGCCTCCCCGGGCCAGGCGGGTGGCTCCCGGGCTGGGGCTCCGGCGCTGCGGCAGCTCCACAGACGCCGCCTTGTTCAGGCCCCGGCCCGGCTCCCGCGGCCCGGCCCGGGGCAGGGCGCTCTCAGCTGAGCTGCCCCTGCGGAGCTCTCCCCGCCTGGGGCTGGCCCCAGCTGCGGGCTCCTGACCTGGGGAGAGGAGAGCCTCCGGGCTGGGAGCCTCCTGGTCCTGAGAGGGAGCCCTTCCCTGCTCCTGCCAGTCCATGGGGGTGGCAGCCCCAGCCTCTGGGGTCCCCAGGGCCTCATCCTCAGTAGGAATGTCCGTGAGGGACACCCGGGAGCCTGAGAACTCAGGCTGCAGTGGGCGGGGCACTGAGGGCAGCTCTTCCAGCTCTTCCTCTTCAGAATCTGAGGAGGATGAGAGTCCCCCGCTGGCGGGTGGCCTTCTGGGCATGGTTACCCACACCCGCTCCGGGGGGGCTCGAAGCAGCTCAGGGATGGGGCGCAGCACCAGGTGACATTTGTAGCTGATCTGGGAGCGCTGGAGACAGGGTACTGGAGTCAGACCCGAGGGACCCCTGGGGCAGGATTGTTCCCCCCTCCCAGGCCCATCTCATCCCTGAAGAAGAGGCCTGAGCATGCAGAGGGTCAGGGAAGAGGCAGGAAGCTGGGCACGGAGCCAGTGAAAGCAGGAAGACAGGAGCAGGAAAGGAAGGCCCACGGGAGGGGGAAGGCAGTGCTAGAGGGAAGGAGAAGGTGGAAAGCACAGAGGCCGGCCTGCCGCACTCACCTGCCACCTCCGCCGGGAGAGGAAGAGCTTCAGGTGATCCGTGCTCACCTCTGCACCCTTTGCCTGAGTCTGCAAAGCCAGGAAAGAGGGCTTGAGGGAAAGCTGTCAACCTAGACCTCCAGGTTTGGCAACAGAGAGACCAAGTCCATGGGGCAGGGCGGGGGAGGTAGTGGATTGGGCAGCACTGAGTCTGGGCTCCTGGGGATCCCCTTCCCCTTGGGTCTGTCAGGACAACACCTATAGCCAAGGTGCACACCTCAGGACAAATCCCCTGAGCCCTGCAGGGAACGGCAGGAAACCGGGGACTCCCAGGGTTAGGCTTCTTAACATCCACCAGGGCTCCCGTCTTGGTAAACCAGCTGCCTTGGGAGGCCTATGCTCTTAGGCCCCTTACCTGAGCCCTGGCTCCCCGGCCCCCCTCTGTCTCCATGTAGGGCCAGCACCCCAGACATCTGGAGCCTGGTGGTCCAGACCAAGACAGCTGCTTCCCTCAGCCACCCACCCAGGCTCTCTCTTCCGGAGCTCATTTCTGGTCTGAGAAAGGATGCTCTTAATTCAACTCCTGACACCAGAATGACCTCAGCCTTCAAATGACCCAGCACAACCTCCATGAACCGTTTATTCAGGTGTTGTTTCTGGACTCAATTGCTGAATCCCTGCCCCCCCAACCCCCACAAATCCCTGAGACCCCATCAATGCCTGGCACTGTACCTGAGGCACTGGGGTTTGAAGATGAATGAGTGAGAACCGAGAACCTGCCCACATGGAGCTCATAACCGAGGGGCTGAGCCAGCCTGGTCAACCCCAGCCCTAGTGTATGGGACCAGTGCAGGACAGAGATGGACACGCAGAAGTCAGGAAGACCAGGGTCTGGTCTCGAGCATGACGGAGAACTCCACTGAGGACGCCCAGGAGTGCAGGATACCCCCAACTCCATCACTGATTTGAGCCTGTTTCCTTGTCACCAAAATGGTGCTCCTTTGCAAAGCTATTGTGATGCTAACAGGTCATATGTATATATAATACCTAAGGTGGTTACTGCACACAGGAGGTACTCAATAAATGGAACCATTGGTAACATTCTCTCTCCCTCCACCTTTTGTGCCACCACTTTGCAGACTAGACTCACTTTGAACCAAGGATGTTCTAGGGTCTCCTCTGCGGTCGGCCTCCTGTGAATGAATAAGGATTAAGAAGGGATTTATCATTCAGTCATCCGGTCAGTCAATAACTGAGCAAACAGGGCTCCTAAGGAGTTGGGGGCAGGAGTTTGGGAGGAGTAGGCGGGTAGCATGAGGGCAGCCCTTGGCCAGGGCGGCGGGCGCTCCCAGGGCCTGGTACTCACAGCCGGTCCTGCACCAGCACTTTGATGAGGAAGCCACGGGCCTCCCTGCTTAGGCTCAGGAATGTGGTCTCCTCGAAGGCCACATTGTAGTTTCGGATGTTCATCAATGTTGTCCGATCATTTTCTCCAACAAATGGGGAGATTCCCGTCAGACTGCAGGGGTGAAGAGGGCTGGTGTGAGGGGCAGCCAGGGACAAAGGGGAATGCCTGTGGGGGCACAGGGCTGGGGACAGGCAGAGGCTTTGGGGTTGTGAGGATGACAGAGGATGACAGAGCAAATCTGGGCAAGAGGCAAGGCTGCAGACTCTCTCCTGCCCTGTCCCCTCCCTAGCCTCCTGATGGGCAAGGAGGTGGTACTGCCATGGGGGCTAGTGGCCTCTGCTTTAGAGGACCTGTCAGTCCCTCCTCCAGTGTGGCCTATGAGTGAAGTGCCAAGGGGATGTGCCCACCCTGAACTCCATTCCCTTCTAGTCCAAGTTCTGGACACTCAGAGCCAAGGAGATCTCCACCTCCATGGCCCTGAGCCTGCACTGGGCTCTCTCCATCCAGGGTGCCCACCTCTTATGGAGGGGTATGAGGCAGGCAGAACATGGGCATCTAGACCAGGGTGTCCACCTTCATGCACATGAGGCCCCTTGCAGTGCAAGAAGGAGTAGGGGTGTGGAAGAGAAGGGGGTGGGCTGCAGCCCAGCAAAGGTTAGGGGTGGGCTGCCAGGAGACAGCTGGGACACTTCAGAGGGTCCTTACCAGAGGAAGGCAACAACGCCCACGGGCCTGCGAGAAAGGAGATTGATGGTAAGGGGACTGCCCACCTCCGACTGGAAGGGAGCAGTTCTCTGCTACTGCTGACTTGAGTGAGCTCTAAGCTCCCTGGGAACAGTGCCATGGACAATGGGCACAGGAGAGGTTTCTTTAGGGAGGACTCTGAACCCACAGGTCCAGATAGGCCTGAAGAAGTCCAGGGTTACGGCAGGGCTGGCCCAGGAAGCCCAGAGAAGTCTGGGGACCGATGGGACCATGACTGCCCCACTGGAGGAGGCATGCTGGCTGCTGAGGGGAAGGCCCAGCTGCCAGGGTAGACAAGGAGTCAGGGACTAACAGAGCTGAGACCTTGAGAGAGAGAGGCATCCTTGACTCACGAGGGGCAAGGAGTCACATGGGCAGGAGGCCCTGCAAGCAACACCACCATCCCACGGTCAGAAGGACTCCAGGCTTGGTAAGTCTCCCTGCCAGTGAGCATGTCCCCAGTGCAGCCCCAAGAGCAGCTGCGCGGCCCACCCAGCCCAGCATGCCAGCCTTACCAGATGTCAGTGACTCCAGACACAGGGCTCTGGTTGACAATCTCGGGGGCCACAAACTCAGGTGTGCCATACTGGCAGTACTGGGGCTCTCCTGGGGTCATCTCCTGAGCATTCCCAAAGTCACAGATCCGCACCTGCTCTTCGCCCATGGCACCATCCCACACCAGCAGGTTCTCAGGCTGGAAGACGAAAGGCGAGGAGTAGGGGCCGAATGAACATGGGAGGACACTCCACCTCCTGGCTCCCACAGGGACTGTCTGCTCTCCAGTCCACACCTCACCTTGACATCGAGGTGCAGCACGTGGCTCTGGTGCAGGTAGTGGATTCCCTCTAGCACCTGCCGCATATAGGCCCGGATCTGTGGAAATAGGGGGCGCAGACTCTGTGGGGGGTAGGGTGGTGTATATCTGATCACCTCCAGGGTGGCAAGAGGTCAGGCTGTGCCCGAGAAGTAGCCTTCAGATGGCTCGTGGAAGGGGTTGAAACACAGATTTGGGGTTGCAAAGATCCAAGGCTACCATGTGCACTGGAGGGGACAATACAGTTATAGGGAGGAGCCATTTACAAGGTAATAAGTGGAATTGTGCAGTGCACAACATGTACAGCCCAACATGGCAGGACTGCAGTGAGATGAATAAAATCTAGGTGGGGCTCCTTCCAGGAGAAATGTTGGGGGGATGTTTATGTGATGAAGAATAGGAAACAACAGTTAGGAGCTGGGGTGGGTTTGCTGAGACTTACAGAGAACACTGCAAGTCCCAAATAGATGGGGATCTGGTCTCAATGAATGGGGACTCTACTGGCTGCCTAACTGCTCTCCACCCCCACCCCTGGCTTCAGACCCATTTGTTGGTTCTCAAAGCTCTGGTGGGTGAAGGCTGGTGCCCAACCTGGCCCCTACCACCCACTGCCCTCACCTCAGACTCACACACGGTGGGTTTCCTGGCCATTCGCTCCAGCAGCTCCTCTGTGCAGCTACATCCCAGATCAAGGAGAACAGTGCCCAGAGCCAACTGCCTGGCCCTCCCCAGAGCTCAGCGCGGGTCCAAGCTCAGCACTGGCCATGGGAACTCAGGCAAGTCACTTCACCTCTCTAAGCCTAGGTTCTCCCAGGAGTAAAACGGAGCTAAAATTTCCTCTCCTGCCCACCCTGTAAAGCATTTATAGGGATCAAATTACAGCAGAATTTTGTTGACAATGGATGGAACTTCTTGACTCTATTTGAGAATGACCTAGAAGGTCCATGACATGGAATAATTTGTCATTTTGCTGAGGTTTGATTTCAAACACTGCAGGCAGCAGGCTCACGTGCAGGTTTCAGTCACCCTGCTACTGGGGTGATGACGGACCACCCAGCATCCTTACCACCATGTGCCTTCGCTTAACCACAGCCTTCATGAAAGGATAAAATCTGTTGTTTATGAAAACAGCCTCCAAATAAAGCCAAGTATTGATCTGAAATGGGGTCACTTCAAATATGCAGATGCATGATACTGCATTTCATGATGAAAAGCACAGGCCACATGCTAGCTGTGACCTTGAGCAAGTTACTTAACCTCTCCATGCCTGTCTCTTCATCTGTAAAATGGGGATAATATAAGCCAATAATAACATTCTAGGAGATAGGAATATATGAGGAAGTAATAGGTTAATATTTGTAAAACTGTTGGAACGCTGCCAGGCACACATTAAATGCTACATAAATCTAAGCTAACAATGAACTTAAAACTGTTGGTTTTCACAGAAGTCTCCAGACGTATTCCTCCCAACTGCCAATGGGGCTACTTTGTAAACTGTAAAACTGTGTAACTGTTGCCTATTGGATGTCACAAGGACCAGTCATTTAGGCATGGGTCCTCCCCAGCCCCCAGCCTGTCCCAGGATACAGCTCCGTAACAATGACCAGTCCCCGGCGTCTCTCAAAGGCCTCATGGAAGTAGAGGACACACTCGTGCTGGAGCCTGGCTAGCAGCCGTGCCTCCCGACGTGCTGATGGTTTTGGCTTGGCCTGGCTGGGGATGAACTTGGCCGCAAACTCCAGGCCAGAGCTACGCTCCACCACACGCCGCAGGTAGGAGAAGGCACCCCTGGTTGACACAGGGAGGGGGGTCAGGGATCAGCCATCGGGGCGGCCCTCTCCATCCCTCCCAGCCCTCAGACCCAGCAGCCTCTCCTTGCCCCCACTGGCTCCCCTCCTAGCCCCATACCTGCCGATCTCCTGGTGGATGTCGTAAAAGTCACTGAGTCTCCTTCCTCGTTGCTCCTCATCCTCCCTGACCCCCTCGACCTCCATAGCTGCTTGAGCTGGGGCAGAGATGTCCTAGTGTTAGGTGGGAGGGGAAGAAAGCAAGCAGGCCAGAGACTGGGACAGGCAGAGGAAGGAGACAGAAGAAGTGCAAGATGTTGGGGGCCTGAGGCCAGGTGCTGGGCTGGGGATGTGGTGGCTGGGAGTCCAGGGCTGGCTGCTTCCTGGGCAGAGCGGGGGTCACATTAGATTCCAGGGGGTGGGCGCTTTATCATTCCCCGGAACTCCTGCCCACCTGAATGCACAGCCAACTCCGCTTTGCAGGAGACCTCGCCCGCCAGGTTCCGGGCAGTGCAGGTATAGACGCCTCCGTCCTGGACCCCTGTGCTGAGCACCACCAGGGAGCACTCATTCTCCTCGTACACGAAGCTCACATGGCTGCTCTCGGTTAGCAGCACCTCGTCCTGCAGAGTTTGGTGTCATCTCCAGCCTGGGCCTGGCCTCACCTCTACCTTGGGGCCAAGAGCTGCTGCACCAGGCCCCGCCCTCATCTGCTACTCTGGGCAGCGCATCTCTCCCCAGGACTCAGAATCAGCTCCTCCCTTATCTCCCACAGAAAGCTCTGCATCCCTCAGCTAGGCCGTCCCCTACCTCCCCTTTCCTCGTCCTAACCACGCCTCTGCCTAGGCTCCGCCCTCCTAAGGCCTCCTAGGACCCTCCCACTCCCCCAGGGAGCCCCTCCTCCCTCTCCTAGGCTCAGCCAGCAGCACCCTCTGACCTTGTACCACATGATGTCTGGCAGTGGTTTTCCCTCCACCACCACCACAAAGCGAGCAGTTTCCCCGGCCCCCACCTCCACGTCTTCCATGATGGACTCAAATCGAGGGGCCTCTGAAACACACGGGGATAAGGGTGGGAAGGGAGGGGGCAGAGGGTTGGTTTTACCCTGCCTCCTCAGCCCCTCCCCAAATCCCATGTCAGCGACTGGCTCAGTCAGAACGCTAGACCCCCGCCTTCCACCAAGCCACACCCCCACCAACTGGCACAACAGTTCCCCGCGTGGACCAAGCATGCCCCGCTCCCGTAAATCCAAACGTGATGTTCTCCAAATCTCAGGAAACCTGGCACAAGGTGCAGGCTTGCTTTGTTTGACCTTCAGTATTCATTTGGCAGCTCTAAAATTAGGAGATTTTCACACACAAAAGAAATCTGGATTTTCTGCCTGTCTCGAAAAATTAGGACTGGCCATCCTGAGTCGCTCCCCTCACTGCAGCAGGAATCCGCAGGCGAGGAGCGGCTCAATGCTGCCCCCTGTGGGTGGCTGCCCTTCTTCACAGGGCCACCCGCTGGCTTCTGACTACCTGAATTTGGCCCCTGCAGGTGACCCAGTCTGTGACCCTGAATTAAGCTCATGGATGGCATTGCCTCTATCTTGAAGTTTCTTCTCTGAATCGTTGAAAAAATTTAGAGGGCCTTCTATTAATAGCACGTGGGAAATGGCAAGATGAACAAACAACCCCCAAATATTAACCAAACTGTGTAGAAATGGACTCACTATCTCCCACATGTGGCTGTGATTTCATTCTCCGTACATGTCACGTGGTCATATGATTTCCTGGTAAAGCAGCTTCTAATTCTCATGATGGAATTAAATACATATTGCAATGTTGCAAAGGAGGCTGTGACTTCCAAGTGTCCCCCACCAGCCCCCACCCCCACCCCAGCATGTTTGAGCATCTCAGCTTGAGGAGGAGTAGGATGAGTCAGGCGCCTGGGAAGGTGGTGGCCGGGTGTGGACCCCCACCCTTCACAGGCACACAGACAATGGGGGAGGCCATCCTGAGGATGGGGGAGACACTGCAGTGGGGTTGACGGGGAAGAAGGGGGCCACCCCTCCACTTGCCCTGCCTGGGTGAGGTGGTGTGGGGTCTAGTGGAATACAGGTGACAGTGCAAGCCCCAGCTCCATTTGAGCCCTGGCCGGCTGGGACATAAGTCTCCATCGGTCACTGTTCCAGCTAAGCTATGCTGCAGGCTTCTCAGGGCCAGGGCCTCCCCAAATCCCAGGGATCCCCCTGTATCCGAGAAGAAAGGTGAGTCCTGAAGATGAATTATCAAGGAGTAAAGTGACTGAGTAGAGAGTGTTAGGGGCAGGCCAGGCAAGGACAGAGACACTTAAAAGAGCCCCCAGCCCCTCTCGCCATCTTCGCAGCCCGGCCAGAAGGGTTCCCTGTCTCTTCATTACACACCCTATGGCCACTTCTCTTCAACTTCACCTCCCCTCCCCTCTAGGAATCCTGGCCCCCAAGGGCTGGGAGGTGGTGGGGGCAGTCACTGACGGTCAAAGCATCGGAAAGTTTCAAGTGAGCTTCGATGGTTTTTTGAAAGCACCAGAAAATGTCCATTTACCCACGATAAGATTGCCTGTGCTAAGTAAAATGTCACTTTCTTTACTTTCCGTTGGAATTGTATTTACTCAGCAGGTAACCCTGTTTAGCCCATGTTGATCAGGAGTTCTGAGTGACAGTTACATATGTCTAGGGTTAATTAACAAACTAGAAAATCAAATAGTTCTACCTAATGCATTTGGTTTAAAAGACTACATCTTTAAAGGAGAAATTATAAAAAGAATCCTAAGGCCCAGCACGGTGGCTCACACCTATAATCCCAGCACTTTGGGAAGCCAAGGTAGACTGATTACTTGAGGCCAGGAATTCAAGACCAGCCTGGCCAACACAGCAAAACCCCATCTCTACTAAAAATACAAAAAATTAGCTGGGCATGGTTGTGCGTGCCTGTAGTCCCAGCTATTTGGGAGGCTGAGGCACGAGAATCACTCGAACCTGGGAGGTGGAGGTTACAGTGAGCTGAGATGGTGTGGGCGACAGAATGAGACTCTGTCTCAAAAAAAAAAAAAAAGAATCCTTGCTGCAAACATTGGGAGGCTCTGTCAAATAGGCTTGTGCCAAAAGGCGGCCAGGATCCCCAGGGCTGGAAGTCTGGTGATAAGATGTGTTCATGGGCTTCTTTAAAAATCACCTTGGTCTTCCCATGTTTGTTATATGTGAAATACTATTTCCTGTCATGTTTAACACGGGAGCTAGGAGTCAGGCATCCACACCTGAACCCAGCTCCTGTACTTATTAGGTTCTGTGAACTTGGGCCAGTTACTCTTAGCATGCTCTTTGAGCCTCAGCCTCAGTCTCCTCATCTGTAAAATGGGATAGTAACCAACCCCATCTCACAAGGTTGATGTAAACATTAAATGAGGCAATATATGTAAAGTGCTTAGTACTAAAGACTAGCACACACTAGGCTCAACAATTTTTTTTTTTTTTTGAGATGGGTTTTCGCTCTTGTTGCCCAGTCTGGAGTGCAATGGCGCAATCTCGGCTCACTGCAACCTCTGCCTCCTAGGTTCAAGTGATTCTCCTGCCTCAGCCTCCCGAGTAGCTGGGACTATGGGCACCTGCCACCATGCCCAGCTAATTTTTGTATTTTTAGTAGAGACAGGATTTCATCATTTTGGCCAGGCTAGTCTCAAATTCCTGACCTCAGATGCTCCACCCACCTCAGCCTCCCAAAGTGCTGGGATTACAGGAGTGAGCCACAGCACCCGGCCAATAGATTGTTGTCATGGTTACTAGTATGGTGTTTGTGTAGCCATGACATGGACAGGCCTGACAGAAGGACAAGGACTTGGATCTGCAGCAGTGGCAGGTGGGTTGTGTAGCTGGGGTATGAAGAGAGAGCTCTGGGCCTTGGAAGGAGGCTAGGAAGAAGCCTCGCAGTCACCCACCTGCCAACTCCAATGTGACTGAGCAGGTCTGCGTGCCGTGACGGTTGCGGGCAGTGCAGGTGAGGGCCCCCATGTCCCGGCGGCTCACCCGGCAGATCTGAAGACAGTACTGGTCATCATCTGGCTGGCTCAGCTCATACACACCTGCCCGTGCCTCTAGGAGGGCCCCTCGGCAGCTAAGGGACACATGACAGGGAGGTCACCTGGGATCTTGCCCCAGGGAATTCTGGCCAGGTGGGGCCAGACCCAGGATGCCACATGTGGGAAAGGGCTCACCTCCTCCAGACGACCTGGGCCTCCACATGGTTGAATGTGACGGTGACACTGGCAGGCTGTCCCTCCACCACATACACGATGTCCGGTTTGTCCAGGATGGCAGGGGCCTCCTCCAGGGGTGGGCCTGGGAGGAGGAGAGCACAGGCTCTGTGCTGGGCTTGATGCTGCATCCTCAGCACCCACTACTCCTTTAACACTCCTAATCAGCACTTGAGCTCCGTGTTTACAGATGGGGAAGCTAAAACTCAGAGAGGTTTAGCTATTTGTCCAGGGAACACAGCCAGGGAGCAGCAAAGCTGGGGTTGTGGGCTGGACCCCAGCAGGCCTGATCCCAAAGCCTGAGCTTCGGCCCCCGTGCCCTGCTGCTTGAAGGAGGAAGAAGAGTGCACAGATGGGCCCAGGTCGCACCCAGCCAGGCTGCTCCTGCCGGTTCCCATGTCCAGGCCAGCCCGAGCCTCCACCACAGGGCCCTGTTCCCCATCCCAGCATCTCCCACCCCCACCCGACAGGAGCACCCCAGCTCACCATGCTCCAGCAGCTGCACAGGCTCAGAAGGGGGTGAGGGCTTGCTGCTGCTCTTGACAGTGGTGCTGAGGACCCGGAAGATGTGCTGGACCCCCTTACGCAGCCCTGTGGCTGCCCACCCTGGCTCCCGCAGGCCTGTGGCCAGTGCCGTCCACTGGTCTGAGCCCAGTACCTGGTGCTGCACTGTGTACGTCAGGGAGTCCGGGTCTGGCGGGAGAAGAGCTACTGCAGGCTGGTGTTGCAGGGGTGGCACCCCTCCCCATCCCCCTGGCCTGGGACCCTAGAGCTCATCATTAGTCTGCCCTGAGGATGTGCCTCAGTCTCTGCTGTTGCTTCCTGCCTGTCTCCCCATCTGCTCTGGCCCAACTGCTTCCCTGGCAGGTTTAAAGCCAACATGGTATCAGTTACAGGCACAGATGGGGCTGGACTTGAACTCCAATTCCTGAGGTAGGGAAACTGAGGCAGAATGGGAGGAGATCCTGGACAAGTGGAGGGGAGGGCATTTGCAAGTCCCGACCCAGGCGCCTAGTCCCTCTGAGCATGGGAAGGGAATGTAGCGGTGCCCTGTTCCTCCTCTACTGACCCAGAGGGAGAGCAACATCCACCATGGAGAGAAGACAGGTGAAGCTGTTCCTGCCAGCACTCCATCAGCTGCTGCCCCTCCCCATCTGTTTCTGGGGCCTGGTCGCCATGGTGCCCTGTCTGAGCCTACCCTGTCTAAACCCCTTCCCCACCCACAGTCCTGTGCAACCCTGACCCACCGATGGCCATGTCCAGACTCTTGGGGGGGTTCCATGTGAGTGTGACCATCCTCCCGGTCACAGCCACCACCTGCGGGGCACCATCTGGAGGGCCTGGAACCACATCTGAAAGCCACAGGTCCATCGTCCGCTGGGTCCAAGGGCTCCACAGCCCAGCAGGATCTTCGAGCCTCAGAGCGGGAGGTTAGGGCCTGGGGGCTCAGCGCAGGGGCAAGGGCAAGGCAGGAGGGTCCCCAGGGGACGGAGGGGAAGGGAGCTGGTGTGGAGGCCCTGAACCCCAGGTAGTGCCAGAGGCCAGGCTGTGCATGCCACTGACCACGAAGGTGCTTGCCTCACCTGTGACGTACAGGTGGGCATAGCAGGCAGCTTTGCCCAGCTTGTTGGCGATGACACTCTTATAGACACCGGCGTGCTGAGGCCCCACGGCAGGGAACACCAAGCGATGGACATCCCTGTCTGGTGGGGGAGGACAGTGACACTGGGCCTGAGCCCCGAGGATACCTTTTGAGGGGTAGGCTCATGCCATCCCAGGCCTGGTCCCTCACCCCCATCCACTGCAGGAAGGAGGCGAGTAGGGAAGGATGGGGCAGGGAGCAGGAAGTGCATCCATGGTGCAGCAAACTCCAGGTCCAGACCGGGGCTGGCTTCCAAGTCTATCCCTCCAGTGTGTTAGGCCGAGCAGCTTATCATCTTATCTTCCTCCTACACTGGGCCACCCTCTGGGGTCCCCGTCCCTGTTGACTGGCCTCTGTGGGGTCACAACCTCCGTGTCAAAGTTCCAACAAAGCTTTGTTCCCACGGCCCCTCCCCTAACCCTTCTTCTCCATCACTAAGGCCACTGCCATCCTGTCTCCAGCACAGCTGCAGGGAAGCCCTCCAGGAGAGAAGCAAAGTCCTCACCCTAAACCCCCCACCAGCCGCATCTCTGCTGCTCCTCTGCATCTGGATGCTGGAAAACCACCAGGCCCCTACACGAGCTGCTGAGTTCCATCTCCAGGTCATTCCTAACATTCCTCCTCTGTGGGATGCTCTCCTCTCACCTAAGGCTTCCTTCTCCTTCAAGACATAGTTCAAGCGGGTACAGCCCATGAAGCCCCCTGCCCCTGGCCTGCTCGCTACCCCATCCTTTGACTCCCCTCAGGACTCCAGCCCTCTCGCCTGCACATCGACGGGCACTGGCCCACACTGCTTTTCGTGGGTGGGGGCTCTTCCTCTGGCATGAATCATAGCTCCTGATCTGGCCTGCAAGCTCCTTAAAGAGAGGACTGACTTTGTCAGATCTGCTTGTCCCACCAGACCCAGAACCTCACACACAGTAAATGCCAAATACATTCTATGATATATTACAAGAGCTGTCTGCTCTGTGCCCAGCCTGTACCAGGTACCTGACATGCTTTCCCCCAAATCCTCGCAACGACCTACAAAATTATCCCCATTTTACCAATAAGGTCAGAGATACTGACTTGCTCAAGGTCACACGGCCAGTAAATGATGGCTTGACCTTGGTTCCATGTGATTTCAAAGCTCTTTCCCTACTCCCTGTTCCCTGGATGATAAGGATGCTGTCTCTGGCGAGGACACAGTGAGGAGGCCTGCGCTGTCCTCCTTCATGTCAGGGCTGTCCCCAGACACCCCTCCCTTCTCTTTGCAGTTATCTCCGCAGAGAATAGTCACCAATTCATTTATCTCTGCTGACGCTATTTATAAGGGAAGAGGAGCCAAGGGCTGCCAGTGACCCCAGATACAGGCAGAAGCGGAGACGCCAGCTCAGATCCTGAGACAGACACTCACTCAGGGCCTCAGAGCGGCTTGGAAGACCGGGAGGCCTGCGGCTGAGAATGACAGTCATGGGAGGCTGTGGGCAGGGGGCGGAGCCAGGGCGGTGGCACTGGAGATGGCTGGGTGGTCAGGGAGAATGCAGCATGGGTGATGGGGGCCTCCTGGTTAGGAGCTGGGCACTAGAGTCAGACAGTCCCTTCTTGCATCTGGGAAGCTTCCTGTACTGCTTTAAGCCTCAGTTTCCCCATCTGTAAATGGGGCTAATAGTACCTGTCTTACAGGCCTGTGGCAAGGTAAAATGGTCCTTGTCATGCCTTGTGCTCAGGGTCTGGCACTTAGAAAGCACTTAATAAAGGTGAGCTTTTGTCATGTTGCAGCCGGAAGAGGAAACCATTGTGGGCCAAAGAGTGCGCATTGTTTATGGGAGGTGAGCAGACTTTCTCACACAAGACTCAGATTCCTTCAAGGACGGAACTGAGATGTCCCATGAGAAAATACCCGAGGCCGAGAGGACATCAACCCAGATGTGTTCGTCTGTGTCTCCCTGGCCCCTTCTTCTTCATTTGCTATTTCCTAACAACCCTGGACAGAGCATGCCTTCCATGCCAGACACTACCCACACCTGCTTTTTCATGCCAGTGTCTCTGGGAAGTGCCACCGCTGATGGTGACCACTAAAACAAGAGCAGTGAGAGTTCACGCCTCCCGACTGCCTTTTGCCAGGCCCTGCTCTGGGGGCTTAAATGTATTAACTGACTTAGTCTAGTAAAAACCCAGTTACAGAGGAGAAACCGAGGCACGGAGGGCTTTTGTAACTTGCTCATGGGCCCGATTCGGGGGAGTTCCAGACTGTACTGCCTGCCCAGTAAGTGCCAATGGACACGGAGGGGTGACTCAGCAGATGAGTGCTTTGCAGGCTGCGGGGGAGGCAATGACCTCACAGTCCCTCTAGGTTCTCTTCCCTCTGGCGCCCCATCCCTGGTCAGGCTGCAGAGGGAAGGCCTGGAGGGAAGCTGGGTAGAGGGGCAGGGCATGGCAAGCCAAGAAGGTGCTGCAGGGGATACTCCCGGTGTCCTCCCCAGACACGTACACTGCGTCATGCGCCGGTCGTCGCTGCTCTGGATGCGGTGGCCATTGTGGAACCAGCTGATGGTGGGGTAGGGCAGGCCAGTCACCTGGCACTCCAGCATGGCCTCCTTGGCCAGTCCCACCTCCAGGTCCTGCAGTGGCCGCAGGAAGTCAGGAATGGACAGCCGCTCCAGCTCACCCTGCTCTGGCTCCTCGGGAATGGACGGCATCTTCTCCAGCTTCGAGCTGCAAGGACCACATGGCTGCCCAGAGGCCCAGGGCCATGCCTCCCACCCCAGGGCTGGGCTGGCCCCCTCACAGGCAGCCCCAGCATCAGGTGGGGCCCTGGTGGTACCTAGGGCCTGAGGCAGGTGTCCGGGGCTCCTCCACATACAGCTGGGCTGAGCAGTGGGCCTGGCCGTGAGTGTTGACCGCACTGACAGCATAGAGCCCCTCGTCCTCGCTGCCCACATGGGCGATGTGCAGCGAGTGCAGACCCCCGTCCTGCCGCAGCCGCAGGTTCTCACTCTCCTCCATGGGGCGGCCTGCAGGAGGAAGGGGTGGGAATGCAGAGCAGGCACAGTGAGGGCCCTCTGGGTGCACCCTATTCCTGCCTGGGCCCTCTGGGAGCCCTCAACACCTGCAGCAAAGAGGCCATACCAAAATGAGTCCAGGTAACAACAGGGGGCGGGGTGCCACTGATCTTGCAGTCGAAGCGGGCAGCTCGGCCCTCCAACACCTCCACGTCTTCCAGCAGCCGAGTGAACAGGGGTGCCAGCGAGGGCCGCACAGTCAGCCGGGCACTGCAGGTCAGCTCATCTGGGGGGCAGGGGACAGCTCAGAGATAGGGAAGGCCAAGGAGGTCCCGGCATCCCCACCTGCCGCTCCTGACTTAAGGCTGAGCAGGAGGCTGGAGCCTGGGCAGAGCCCAGCAAAGATTCTGAGTGCCCAGCAGAGGCAGTGGGCACAGATCCAGATGCACAGATGCCCACGTTCTTGAGAGGGTGAGGTCACCAAGCATGGGCCCAGGCTGCCATGGTGGACTGGGGATTCCATAGGCACCCAGGGCCTGCTCCCAGCTCTCTCCTTCCTGCCCACCTTGGATAAAGCACAGTCCAGCTCTGAGAGGGTCCTAGAAGCCAAACCCACCCCTCCTCCATCTCCTTCTCATAATTATCCTCTGTGCCAGGGCCATGCCCATGCTCCGAGCCCCCTGCCCCCGACTCAGAGCAGATGCTCCTTGACCCTACTCTACCAACCCCCAAAGAAGCTTCTGGAGGAGATAAGAGTCCCTATTCACCCTCCTGCTTCCAAAGTCCCTGCAACTTCCCCTTAGGCCTTCATCACCCACAATGTGGCAAGGCAGGTGCCATCATCTCTGCTGTTCATGAGGACAGGCCCAGGTCAGAGATATCATCAGTGGTAACAACGGCTGGTTAGGCAGGTGTGCCATTTGAAACCCTTTTCTGGAATGATCAGTACCCCACCCGCTCCTGGTAAGGCCCTTTTGACAGGCACTGGGCTTCATTCTTTACATCCATTATCTCATTCATCCTGCCAATCCCTCTACAAAGGAGGCGTGATCACCATCCCTGTTTCACAGATGAGCAGGCTAAAAAGCTCAGAGAGATGAAGTGACTTGTTCAAAGTTATGTGGTTGGTGACCTGCCAGGCAGGCGTTGGAACCCACGTCCACCTCAGCAGATACACTCCCTCCTAGGAACAGTTAACCAAGTCTTGGCCCTTCCTTTGTGCTACCCACTATTCTAAGCACACATTTTACTGAGGCCGAGTGATGCACTAGCTCCCATCCCCCACACTTCACCTAGGGGTTGGAGCTCTGTTTCCCGGGCATCTTACTCTGCACCCTCCAGTCTCCTCCCTCCAGCTCTTGGGCACCCATGGCAGCACTAAGGCCTGAGTGGGGAGTTACCTTTGGCCGTGCTGAGCTTGCAGGTGTAGACGCCACTGTCGTCCTCATGCACAGAGGTAAGCAGCAGCTTGCATTTGCGGCCATCGAAATGCATCTTGCATTTGAGCAGTGCTGGCTGCAGCAGGCGGCCATGGCACAGCCAATCCACCTCCACGTCGGTGGGCCCCGCCACCAGGCACTCAAACAGCGCCATCTCCCCGGCCCCCACGTCCACGTCCTGCAGGGGGGCCAGCACGGCCAGGGACCGGCTTTCAGGGTGTGCTGAGGGGAAAGCAGCCACGGGGGCCACACACAGAGCAGAGACACAAAGGGCGAGGGAGACACACATAATACACACACACAGAGAGACAGACAGACACAGAGAGAGAGATGCATTTTGTTCTCTGGAGATGGAGAAAGCCCACCCACCTGGCCAGGACTGCAAGACGAGCCCAGACCTGGCTTTGAGACGGCAATCCAAGCTGGGCCAGGGAAGGTGACTCATGGAGGCGAGAGGGGACTGAGGGAGGGGAAACCGAGAGGGCCACATGGTGGCAGAGACGGCGGCGGGAAGAAAAAAATAACACAACACACCAGCTGGGTACAAACTGGACTTTATTTGAGCTAAGAAATAGGTGTTTCCAAATCTCTCCATGCTCACTACAACGGACCCATGCCCCTGCTCTGGCACCAAGCCTGGTTAATGCCCTCATTCCCAGACAGAGTACCCCAGGCCCTGACAGGGAAGGAGGGGGCCCTAAACGGGCCCTAAACCTGCCAGGGCCAGGGCTCAGCCAGGCAGTTCATCAGCACAGATCCTGGAGTCTCTGGCTTTTGGTCTTTTGCGGAATAGAAACTGTTGTGCCATTTGAAACCCATTTCTGGAATGGTCAGTGTCCAACCCCTCTTGGTAAGGCCCTGGTCAACAGCCTCTGCTTCTTCGGCCCCTCCATGGCAAGCCCTAATCTCTTCCACTCTGTCTGACCCCACCTCAGCTCAGAGGCATCCTTCCCTGACTGTCACAGACACACAGACAGACAAACAGGTAGACAGACAGGCCTGCAGCAGCGATAGCACATGCACTCGCCCGGTGCCCCCCTTCAGGAAGAGATTTGGGAGGCTGATACCCCACATAGCTGCCCTTCCCAGCACTCAGTCCATCTGTGGGCCTCCTGGCCTGCGCAGCCATGTGTCCACTTGGGGAGGGAGGGTCCACAGGGGCCCATGGGCTATCCCCCTGATGGCTACATGGGGTGGGGAGGGGAGGCTGGGACGGGTCCGGGCCGGCGGGCCTGGGTCTGTGGGCAGGAGGCAGTGAAACACAGCGAGGTCCGAGAGGTGCCTGAGACAGGGGCGCGGCTCGGAGGGTAGCGGGGGGAGCACAGGTGGCCCCCTGAGCTCACTCGCCTGTGTACAGACAAAAACCTCAGTCAGCAAGCGGCAGGTTAGTGCAGCACACGCACACGCACGCACACACACACGCACACACACATGCCCACACACGCATGCACGCACACACACACGCACGCATACATGCACACACACGCATGCAGACCTGGCTAGGGCCCTTCTGCATGGAGGGCCACCTTTCACACTGCCAGGGCAGTACAGCCACTCTTGGCTCCCCAAAGGTTAGCCCTGGACTGGGTGGGCTGGCAGCTAGCCAGAAACTGGGTCCTCAGGGTTCCTGGGCAGGCAGAGACCCCAGGCAACCAGGCATTCATGGGCTCAGGAGCACCCCAAAGCCTGGGGGTGTCAGAAGGAATCACCAGGAGAAAGAAGCACCGAGACACGGGTTAATACAGAGAAGCAAGGCAGAGCCAGGCCCTGGAGAAGCAGCAGGCCGGGGAGGAGGGCTGAAGAATCTGGAGACCAAGGAGGTGGCAACCACAGGAACATCAGGCATAGAGGAGGGGAACTGAGGCAGGGGCCAGCAGAGGGACCATGACTGTTAGGGGCCTAGCACTGAGCCTTGGCGGGAGGTGGGAGGCTGGGGGCTGCAGGAGAAGCGAGGAGAGTAAGCGAGGAGCCATTGAGGGCAAAGGTGAAGTGGAAGGCAAGATAAACGGTTGGTCCTTGGGGAGGAAAATCCACAGGCCCTTGAGGACCCCCTAGCCAGGACCTGTCATGTCTGCTGCCAGAAAGGGCCCCTGCACTTATGCCCCAGGCTCTGAGGGCCCAGGCCTCTTCACACGTCACAGCTGTGCTCACCCTGGTACCCTAGGGTCCCTGTGATGCTCCATGCCTCACCCACCCCAAGGGCCCCTCCGAACGGGTCCAGCCACCAGACTCTCCCCACCGCTACCTCACAGTAGCTTCTGCACAGCAATGGGATGGGAGGGTGGGCAAGGGGGCGAGAGGAGAGGGGGAGGGGGATAAGGGAGGGTCATGGGCAGAGCACGGAGACAAAGGCTCAGAAGAGTGTAGAGAGAGCTTGGCCAGTGGTAGGTGCAGGGTCTCTGGCTGCTGCCAGGGCTCTGTGACAGAACAACAGGGAAGGTAGGGTTGTGTAATAAGCTGAGCACGGAACAATATGCTGTGCAGCTTTGGGCAGGTCACTTCCTGTCTCTGGGCCTTGGTTCACTCAACAATAATATAAGCAGCTGGACTAGGGGCCTCCATAAGGCCCTTTCAGTGGTGGCATCCTGTAACTGAGGCTGTATGAGAGTGGACAGTGGTGGAAAGAAGGGGCCAGGGCCAGGTGGGCATTGTGGAGAAATAAGGTACTCACCTCGGACCTCCAAGCGGGCCTCACACTGTCGAGCACCGTACTCATTGACCGCTTTACAAGTGTAGAAGCCAGCATCACCTCGCTCCGCAGCCAGGATCCGCAGCCGGCACAGCCCACCCTCAGCCTCCTCCGCAAAGCGCCGCTGGTCCGGGCGCACGGGCTGGCGGTTTCTCAGCCTGTCAGAGAGGCAAGAACTCAGTCCCAGGGCCCAGGGACCTGATCTGTGTGTGCAGGACCTGGGGCTGCAGCACTGCGCAGGCCTCTCCTTCCCTGTGCAGTTTGCCCAGCCTCCGGACCTGTCCCCTGACCGTGGGCATCCCTGGTTTCCAGGGCTAGGTTTTGACCCTGACTCTGCCATCTCACCCGCCTCCAGGAGCTTCCAGGTCACTTCTGACTACCTGGAGCTCTCCATTCTCGGAACCCTGCCACATTCAAGGTAGAGCCATGCTATTTAGCTCTTTTTTCTTTTCTTTCTTTTCTTTAAAAACAAGGTTTTGCTTTGTCACCAGGCTGGAGTGCAGTGGCACAATCGCAGCTGACTGCAACCTCTACCTTCCCAGACTCCAGCGATCCCCCGACCTCAGCCTCCCGGGTAGCTGACACTACAAGCACATGCCAACATGCCTGGCTATTTTTTGTATTTTTTGTAGATACAGGGTTTCACCATGTTGCCCACACTGGTCTTGAACTCCTGGGCTCAAATGATCCTCCTCTCTTGGCCTCCCAAAGTGATGGAATTACAGGCCTTGAGCCATCATGCCTGGCCCTATTTAGCTCTTAATAACTTTTTTTTTTGGAGACTCAAAATCCTAACCTCATGATCTGCCCACCTCAGCCTCCCAAAGTGCTGGGATTACAGGTGTGAGCCACCGTGCCTGGCTAGCTCTTAATAATTCCTGAATTTCTCCATGTCTTATTTTTATATATTTATAACAGATAGATAGCTTTTCCACTTCCCAAAAGGGATATTAAAAAACTTACAATGTTAAAAAAATTACAGTGGGGACCGGGCATGGTGGGTCACACCTGTAATCCCAGCACTTTGGGAGGCCAAGGTGGGTAGATCACCTGAGGCCAGGAGTTCAAGACCAGCATGGCCAACATGGTGACCCCGTCTCTACTAAAAACACATAATTAGCCAGGTGTGGTGGCTACTCAGAAGGCTGAGGCAGGAGAATCGCTTGAACCCGGGAGGCAGAGGCTGCAGTAATCATGTCACTACACTCTAGCCCGGGCAACAAGAGCAAAACTCCATCTCAAAAAAAGAAAATCATAGTGGAGATGAGGCAATCAATTAAAAATGAAAAACAGAATTCCAACCAATAAAAAATGAGCAAGCTGAGTAAACCCTGTTCCAGGTACCTGGGATGAGCGAGGCCCTGCTGCTGAGACCCACATCTAACTCTGGGCTACTGGCAGCTGAGAACAAATTGTTGTGTGGTTTCTTTTCCGCAACAGGGTCTCACTATATCACCCAGGCTGGAGTGCAGTAGCGTGGTCATAGCTCACTGCAACCTCAAACTTTGGGCTCCAGCGATCCTCCTCCTCAGCCTCACAAGTAGCTGGGTCTGCAGGCATGTACTACCACATCCAGCTAATTAAAAAAAATTTTTTTTGTAGAGACAGTCTCACTATGTTGCCCAGGCTGGTCTTGTCCTTGGCTCAAGCAATCCTCCTTCCTTGGCCTCTGAAATGTCTTGCTCCTTGCCAATTTTGGGAGGGGAGTGTTTTTGTTTCTGAGATAGGGTCTCACTCTGTCACCCAGGCTGGAGTGCAGTGGTGCGATCTCAGCTCACTGCACCTTCCCCGTCCCAGGATCAAGTGATTCTCTTGCCTCAGCCTCCCGAGTAGCTGGGATTACAGGCATTTATCACCACATCTGGCTATATTTTTGTATTTTTAGTTTTGCCATGTTGGCTAGGCTGGTCTTGAACTCCTGGCCTCAAGTGATCCACTCGCCTCAGCCTCCCAAAGTGCTGGGATCACAGGCATAAGCCACTGCACCTGGACACTTATCCCAAATGGACAGACATGAGACCCAAACCCCTCCCCAGAAGGGGAAGCCCTAAATAAACCTGGAACGCGGGGCAAGGGACAGGGTCCTAGGGGGAGTACACTGCTATCCCTAAGATGAGGCCCCAGAGGCAGATCATGGGGAACCCCACAAAAGTTCCAGTTCCTTCTAACCAAAGCCAGACCTCCCAGAGCCAAAGCCTGATGGAGTTGCCCGTGGGTGGTGGGAAGTGCGGCTACTCACCAAGAGACCACAGGCTTGGGCTCCCCGTGCACGCGGATGCTCATGATGACATCTTGGCCTTCTCTTACTGACTGGTCCATAAGTGAGACCTGAAGGGGGTACCCCAAAGTGTCAAGGGAGACAGGGCAGAGCCTTGAGTCCTGGGGGCTGTGGAATCTGGGATGGAGGCCTCTTCCGTAGCCAGACTGAAACTGGCTCTGGGTAAGAAGGGTTGAATGGGAGCAAAGCTCCAGGTCTTGCTGGTGCCTGAGCATGGCCCCAAGAACAAAGGGGCACCCAAAGGAACGGGGCACACAGGAGGCCGGGCCCCAGCCTCAGGGGTCTGACCTTGAAGGTGGGGGGTGCCTTGGAGCCAGTGTCGGAAGAACGGCGGTTCTGGCTGGGACTGGGCTTCATGGTGGGGGTTCTGGGCCAGGTCTCCCCAGGCTCTGGGAACTCCTCTGGGGGGCTCAGGTACTCCTCGTCGGAGGTGATGGGGCTGCTAAAAGGGGATGTAGACCCACCTGGAGACAGACAGAGACAGCTGCCATGGAGGAAGACGAGCGGAGAGCCTGGGAGAGCCGGCTGGAATGTCACCCAGAGCCCAGCAGTTGGGGCAGCTCCCCACAGGCCAGCCCTGCCCTGACTTCACCCCCAGGCTCCTGCGATGTCACCCAGTTGTTTTCTCTCCCTGAGCCCCTGGAACCTCCTCTGTTACGGCTCTGCCAACACGACCCTGCTGATCCTCCCTCAAGTGGACACCATAGGGAAAGGCCTGGAGCAAGAGGTTCGTGCAGCAGAGGGGCCACTCCTGGGCCTGGTGAGAGAATTCCATTGGAGCAGGGAACCCACATTCCTGACATGGACTAGGGGCCTAGCCCACCAACTGCAGGCTCCAAAAGCAGGGGATGCATGTCTGTGGACCCCTGGAGCAGCATGGCTAGGATGCCCACTTCTAGGCGAGCTGGGTCTGGTGCAGAGGAACACAGACAAGTCACATCCTGACCTCGGTCCAGGGCCAATGAGGCGGCACCGTCTAGCCTGCCCCTCCCCCTTTCCCTTTCCATTCTCAGCTTCCTGCTGCAGAAACCCCAGGGGCACCTGTTTGGCCACAGCCCTACAGCCTGCACCCCCAAATGCTCAAGGGAAAGGAAAGCAGAGCTGGAGTCATGCACAGAAAAGGGCAGCTCAGCCTGGGGAGGAGGGGGCACCAAAGTCGGCCTTGGGGGAGGGGTGTCCCCAGGGCCCTGACGCCCTCCCCTGCAACTGGCCAGGGGCCCAGTCTAGCTGAGCTGGCTCCTATCCGACTGCCAAATACAGACATGAAACTGCCACAGTCCCCTGGCTTCTCCCCCCAGGTCCCCCCCAACCCCAAGACCCCAGCAGGGCTTTACCCCAACTCACCCTGAGGCTCTGCACACGGACCCCAGCCTGTGCCTGTCCTGAACGCTCTGCCCTGGCACCAGGCCCTCCTGCTGCCTACCCACTACCCACCCCAGCGTGTCTCCCCAGGGAGCAGGAGCTGGGCCTGTCCAACCTGCCCAGCCCCACTCACTCGGCTGACCCAGCTCAGTCCCTGTACGGAGAAGGCCCTGGGGAGGGGAAGGCGCCTGAGGAGGGGAAGGAGGAGGTTGGATGGCAGGCAGGCAGGCAGGCAGGCAGCTGGCTGGGAAGGTGGTGCCTGCCGAGACCACAGGCAGCCTGGGCCCTGGCGTGGAGGGGGAGGAGAGGGGAGAGGGGAGGGCGGAGTGAGGCTGTCTGGATTTAGCCACCCTGCTCACTCCCAAGCCACCCACGGGATCTGCCTTTCCTCTCCTTACAGCTCCGGAACCTGACAAGAGCAAAGCCCCCTCCGAGGCACCTTGACTCAAGATGTGGGGCCTCTGTCCCCTAGCAAGACAGGGAGGGGTGGCACTGCACTGTGCCAGTCAAGATGCGTGCCCTGACCCATTCATTCCGACATGTCTGCCAAAGGAGGCGCCCATGGCAACTGTTCCTTGGGTTGCCCCTTGCTCTGACTAAACCACCAAGATCCCTGACCTGAGAATGTGCTAAGGAGCCTCAAATACTACAGAGCTAGGCCGTACCTGTTTTCTTTGGCCCCAAAAATCAGAGGACTGTCAAGACCTTTGCCCTTCTTCCCAGAGGTGGGGGAAGAACCTGAGGGGGCCCAGAATCTTGCCTCTGCCCCCCATCCCAGCCATAGAAGGTCTGGCCAGCAGCCACCCCAGGGCACTAAGCCCACACGCAGCCCTCCTACCCATTCTGCCAGGGCACCTGTTGGCAACTTGCCTGTCACTCATCAACCCCACTATGGAGGATAGCGGGGGCTGCCTCCCCCAAATGGCCCCTTATCATGAGCACCCATTTGTCTGGGTTGGGGAAGCATGGGGTCAGCGTGGGGGACTGGGAGCCAGTATAAAGGGGTGGTACTTCTCACAGGGGAAGGGGTTTGGACACACAGCAAGAGAGAAGGGGGCTGTTGAGCAGGGGTCACATGTCCTTCTCCCTCTTCCTATCACCTCACCCCTGCCCAGGGTCACATTCCTAAGTCATGACCTGTGTTCCCCAGCATGGCCAGTGAGGAAGGAGGGCTGGGGGCCGGGCAGAGGAGGGGCCCACAACATGTTCAGGCTGGCTGTCTTGAGGTAGGGTTGGGGAGAGAAGGCTGAATGGCATTTGGTGCTTAAGGCCACTGAAGCTGAGATCACAGGCATGGCCCCGCAGGTGAGCAGTCCTACCCCTCTGTGGAGCCTAGAGTCCTGCTCCAGGTCACCTCCAGCCTGGACCATGCTGAGGAGGCTCAGGGGCCCAGGGAGCGAGAGCGAAGCTGAAGGCCCGATCACCAAGGCTTGAAGAGAGGCCCCTGGTGGTGGCCAGGGGAACAGCATGCTGGAGGGCTCCCAGCCACCAAGCGCAACCCCATCCTCAAGCCCCTTGGAAAGAGAGACTGTCAGAGCAGCCCAGGCCTCTTCCAGACAAGGCAGTAGTCCCTGTCCCTCCATACCTCCAAAAGTGAGTGACCAAGGAGGCTGATGGAGGAGTACTCCTGAGGCTCCACACCAGAATCTGGTGCCACCTAGTCTTCCCTGGCCCTATTGCCAAAACCAACTTTGGAACCAGTCCCTGACATTCCAGCCCTGCTCCACCCACAAGCCCAACTCTCACTGTGGGAAGCACAATTACACCAGCCAGGAAGGAGAGAGCGGCCGCCCCTCCAAACCTAAGAGGCACATACACTCACTGGCCCTGAACAACCCGCTGCGGAAGTACCGCCCCTTCACGCTGGCTCCCAGTGCTCGTGTCTGCCCTTTCAACATCACTCTCAGGTCAGACTCATTTGATGAAAATGCTGGCGTTAGGAAGCACACAGGGAACTCTCTCTCCTCAGACCAGCACATTCGCCAGCCCCAACTGTTCCAATGTCCCCTGATGTGTTCTCACATCAGAGTTGCAGCCACCACTGTGACTATCTAGTACATAAAAGGTGTCACACGTGGCCCTTTGCATCAGGGCTTCTCAGAATGATACTTGACCTGCTAACATCAGGACCACCTCGGGCTTATTTAAAATATAGATTTCTCAACCTTACTCCAGTCTGTGAATTAGATTTTCTGAAATGTCAGGAAATTGCTTTTTTTTTTTTTATTTTGAGATGGAGTCTGACTCTGTCACCAGGCTAGAGTGCAGTAGCGTGATCTTGGCTCACTGCAGCCTCCACTTCCTGGGTTCAAGCAATCCTCCTGCCTTAGCCTCCCAAATAGCTGGAATTACATGCACCCACCACCGCACCTGGCTAATTTTTGTATTTTTAGTTTCACCATGTTGGCCAGGATGGTCTCGATCTCTTGATCTCATGATCCACCTGCTTCAGCCTCCCAAAGTGCTGGGATTACAGGTGTGAGCCACCGTGCCCAGCCCAGGAAACTGCATTTTTAAAAAGCACCCCAAGTGACGCTTGTGCACACGAAAGCTTAGGAACCACTGCTGACTTTATGGGAGGAGGATACCCCTAAGAGGTGGTATCACTGAGCCCCACTTCAACAGGGCCAGGCTTTGAACCTAGGAGGTTTGACTCCACAGCCGGTGTGCTTCCCACAGCACGATCTGACCTCCCATCTTGGGCACGATCTGTAACTCTATGGCAGTGGTTCTCAAAGTTTTCTGTGCATCAGAATCACCTGGAAGGCTCCTTAGACCATAGCGTGCTGGGCTCCACCCACGGAATTTCTGATTCTGTAGGTCGGGGCTGGGGCCAATAATCTGCATTTCTTAGGAGTGTAAAAGGCTTATTGGAAAAAAAAAAAAGAATCTGCATTTCTAACACATTTTCAAGGGATGCTGCTGCTGCTGGTCTGGGGGCCACACTCTGAGGACCACCGCTCCCCAGTCTCTCTCCTAAGCTCCCCTCAGGAATAGCCTCATGACCCTTGCGGCTGGGCGTCATGCCTAGCCTCACCTCTGTGTCTCACCCAGGTTCTTCAAGGGCTTGAAAAGTCATGGGGGTCTCTGCCTACCCACTGCCACTTCACATACAGCCTCGCAGTCCACACAGCCCCTGAATGTCCAAGAGGGCCCCCATGAACAGTGCTAAGGAGTGGCAAAGACATGGTCATGTCCTCAGGCGACTTCTGGGTGGTGTGGAAGACAAGCCAGATACACAAGCAACTTCAAGAGCAAGCAGGAAGTAGAAGGTAGCAAGAGAGCAACAGATAAGGGGTGTGGGAGTATGGAAGGTGGGAAATGACTTTTGGCCCAGGGAGAACGAGGGAACTGAAGGAAGAGGCGGTATTGGAATTGGAGTTTGCAGGGAAAAGTATTCCAGGCAGAGGAAAGTGCACACCTCAAAGTTTGAAGCAAAAGGCACATGTGCAGAGGGCTGTAGCTCAACTGTCTGCCCATAAAACCGGGTCAAGAAGTAAGGAGTGGGGCACCCCTGTGTTCGAGCAGATGCCTCCCACCGCCACCTGAGGGCCCATCTCAGGCCTCTGGCACCTTTTGCCCTATGGGTGCAGGTGGCAGAGGCCACCTGAAGGTGTACAGCCTTTACTTCGAAGGCAAAGGGGATGCCTCACAATTTTTGTTTGTTTGTTTTTGTTTTATTGAGATGGAATTTCACTCTTGTTGCCCAGGCTGGAGTGCAATGGCGCGATCTCGGCTCATTGCAACTTCCACCTCCCAGGTTCAAGTGCTTCTCTTGCCTCAGTCTCCTGAGTGGGTGGAATTACAGGCATGCGCCATCATGCCCAGCTAATTTTTTGTATTTTAGAGAGATGGGGTTTCACCATGTTGGCCAGGATGGTCTTGAACTCCTGACCTTGTGATCCACCCACCTCGGCCTCCCAAAGTGCCGTGATTACAGGCATGAGGCACTGCGCCTGGCTTATTTTTGTTTTTGTTTTGAGACAGTCTCACTGTGTCATCCAGGCTGGAGGGCAGTGGTGCAGTCTCCGCTCATTGCAACCTCCACCTCCCGAGTTCAGGTGATTCTCCTGCCTCAGCCTTCCTATCTCAGTAGCTGGGATTGCAGGCACCCACCACCACGCCTGGCTAATTTTTGTCTTTTTAGTAGAGATGGGGTTTCACCATGTTGGTCAGGATGGTCTCGATTTCCTGACCTCATGATCTACCCACCTCAGCCTCCCAAAGTGCTGGGATTACAGGTGTGAGCCACCACTCCTGTCCTAATTTCTTACATATGGTTATGTTAGGTTGCTTCAGGTAAGAGAAGGAAGCTGCAACAACAGTAAATGAGCTCTCCATTCTTCTGACAGGCTGTGAGTGATAGCCCCTGTTCTAGGTACCAGCCTCGGGGAGGCCACCTGTCAAGCAAATCTGTTTCTGGCAGGCAGAAGGGTGGAGGGAGGGCTGAGTTTGGGTAAGGGGACCATGCCACACTACTTTGTCAGGTATTGTCCAAACCCCTATCAACAACTGACGATGGGGGCCATGTGGTATCATCCCCATCGCAGCCACTGCCATCATAAGGGAGAAACTGCAACTATGACACAGGTGGCCAGAGAAGACAGGGACTGACAGAGGTGCCACGGTTTTCTTCTTTGTTTTTGTTTTCATGGCCCCCAATAAACCACCTCTTTTCTGCTGTGGTCATGTTGATCAAATGAGTGGGACGAAAATGGGCTTCGATGAGCCGTATCCGCTGGCCCAAATGCCCTGAGCCAACTCACCCTCCTCACAGACCCTCTGGAACCTCACTGAGTAGGCAGCCTGGGTGGTATGATGATCCTCACTTTACAGCCAGGAAACGTGACGGAAACCATGACCAGCTAAGGTGCAATGAAGAGGCCAAGGTCTTGGCTGGAAAATGCTAGACTCTTGAACTCAAATATAGGAGACCTATACTTGAGGGCAGGACTGGAGGTGGCAGGATGAGGCCCAGGCCCATGGGGCCTCCCATATCCCCGCTTCCTCCTGGCCAGCACCCAGAGGGCCTCCTGCCAGAGCCCATTGTGAGAAAGCTGGGTGTGCTCACCCCAGGCCTGCAAGGAAACAGAAGGACCACAGCTGTGTCACAGGTGGGGAATCAACAGAGGAAGGAGAGGAAGCCCCCAATCTGACCCACCCACAGAGGGCATCACCAGTGCCCTCCCAGTGAGCTCATGAGCTCAGTGCCACCTCAACCTCAAACTTCATCAGAGCAACAGAAAAGGGGGATGGGATGGGATAGTGTCGTGGTTAGGAGTGTAGGCTTGAGAGACTGAGACAGGGCTTCAAATCACAGCTCCAGCCTCCAACCGGCCCTAAGCTCCTAGAGCTGACCATCCCAAGAAGGCAGCCACTGGCCACCTGAGACTATTTAAACGCTCAGTTATTTAAAATGAAATGAAATTTAAAATGCAGTTCCTCAGCCACCTCAGCTGCATTTCAAGTGCTCTCTAACCACATGTGAGCTAGGGCTGCTGTACTGGACTGCACACGTATAGAGCATTTCCATTATCACAGAAACGTCTATTAACCAATGCTGCTCCAGACAAAACTGCTGGGATTACAGGTGTGAACCACTGTGTCTGGAGAGCAATTTGCTAAAGTTTTCTGAGTCTCAGTTTCCTCATCTGTAACATGGGCATAATAGAACCTATCTCATAAGGCTGGATTAAACAAAATAATCCAATTAACACAGGACCTGGTATATATGAAGCACTCAATAAATGCTAATTGGTCATGTATTATTTATTTATTTATGATTTTGAGACAGAGTCTCACTTTGTCACCTAGGCTGGAGTGCAATGTCCTGATCTCAGCTTACTGCAACCTCTGCCTCCCAGGTTGAAGTGATTCTCCCATTTCAGCCTCCAAAGTTGCTGGGACTACAAGTGCCTGCCACCATGCCTGGCTAATTTTTGTATTTTTAGCAGAGACAGGGTTTGATCATGTTGGCCAAGCTGGTCTTGAACTCCTGACCTCAAGTGATCCGCCTGCCTCAGCCTCCCAAAGTGCCGGGATTACAGGCGTGAGCCACCATGCCCGGCCTGGTCATGTGTTTTTATTTGCACCCCACACTAAGTTTATTTGCTTCATGGACAGTTATTTCCATCACCCTAAATTGCTTGTTTCTGGTAACATCCCTAGGCAGACTGCAAGTGCAAAATAAAGGCTGCTGGCCTAGTGCCAGCTCTACCTCACTTTCCTACCCACATTTTTGTCTTCTCGTCTGCAAAATGGAAATGTTACCACCTGTCACACGTCCCTCTGAGGGATATGTGAGGCACAATGATATTGCCAGGGAAGAGATGTGAGAGGGTTTGGGAAAGACTATGGCACTCTTCAAACAGAAGAAACTGTTTAGAGAGACGTAGCACTTGGCACCTAGTTGGCACTCAATAAATACTTGTGAGATGGATGTGGCCAGCAGTGGGGAATGGTTTGCTTCTCACACTCCCTAGTCACCCGCCCCGATACACACATCCACTTTGGGAGAACAGCTGCGGTCTCAGCAGAACGATTCAGTGGGGTGGAAAGGGTGGGAGGGACCTGGGGAGCTGATGAGGAACAGGTCCTGTGCGCACAGACCCTGCTCCCTAAACCACCGTGCTCGGGACTACATTCTCTAGTTATCCAGTCCCTGGTTACCATGGCTCCCAACCAGGAATTGAGATCTGTGGGCCCTCAAAAGCAGGCCCTGTTAGGGTGGACCCCAAGAGGGGACTGGGCAACCAGCCCTGGTTACCATGGCACTGGGCAGGGGGAGGGTAAGGAGCAAGAGAAGGAGGCGGCTGCATGCAGGCTTCTTCCCACAAGACACTGCCCACTGCCTCCCTCTACCGGCTCCCCACCAGGCCCACGGGCACACTGCTGGATGCCCTCCCTTGACCCCACCCCTCACTCCCTGCAGACTCTAGGCCTGGGACCACCCCTTGCCAGATATCTGTGCCACCCCCAGGTTCTGCCCACTTTTGCTGCTCTCAGGTCCACTGGCTCCTGTCCAGCCACTCGGGACTAAACAGTGCCTTGTAGGGTAAGAAAGTCAGCTTGTTCTACAATAGCCAGGGCAAGTCTGGACCCAAAGGCCTGCGTCCCAGCCCCTGGGGCCCCCGAGCTAGCCTGACTTAAGGAGGGTGGGTCTCTTGCTGCAATGCCTGGTGCAACAAACTAATGCGATGAAGGCTTTCTGGCTCCCCAGGGCAGGGGAGATGCAGAGATGCTGTGATGAGCTGAGGGCACAGGAGCTAGGAACTATGGAGGGTGTGCAGGATATGGGTCTTGCAGGGGAGAGGTGGAGTCCCCAAGGCACAGACAGGCTGAAGAAAGGGACAGAGAAGGATAAGACAGTTACCAGATCCTCAGAGAAACCTGAACTCTTGTACACAACATCACCCGTTAATAACGCTAACAACTAACATTTGTCTACAGCTTTACAGTTCACAAAGCTCGTTCATACATTCGCTTTCATCCGTGAGGATGGTGTCATTATCTCTGGTTTACAAATGAGGAAACTGAAACTCAAGAGGTTCTATGCCACAAAAACAGAACTCCCAGTCAAGGGCTGACAGCTGCCTCGCCCCAAACTGCCTTTCCAACCTTAAAAGGCTCCCAAATGGCCCTGAGCCAGAATCGGGGCACCCCCCATCCCACCCCTCATCAAATCTCAACCCAAGCCAGGTATTGACCGGAGTCCTGGAGCCAGGCCTGGGCCCCCTCAGGGGAGCTGGGAGCTGAGTCAGAAGGCAGATCCCAGAGGTGATGGAAGGACGGAAGCATGTGGTGGAGGGACGGGCATGATTCAGCGGGGTAGGAGGGGTAGGAGAAGGAGAAAGCCCGGAGAATGGGCTCCTGGGAGGGATACACAGCTAAGAATGCCGAAGACCTGCACAAGCCAGATGGTGCAACCAAAGGCTCTACTGTCTCACGAGACTGTGATCAGACACCATTAAGAATGCCCTCACCATGCAGGTGCTGAGGCCCTGGGCCGGGCACACAGGCTCTGCCGTCTTGTCTCCTGCAGCCCTTCGTGGAAGAAAGGGACAGAACAGCATGTGCTGTTCCCTCTCTTGGCATGTCCTGCCTTCCCCGTGCCGGTCTAAATCCCAGCCTCCTTCAGGGCTCCAACAACTCTCGGCGCAGGCATCCGAGAACATGAAGCGACTGCTCGGATGTCCTCCGCACTATATTCATCTGCCCCGCACTGTCCCCTGATCTAGGTCTTCTGATCCAGATCTGGTCAGCCAATGCTAACCCCCTTGAGGGCTGAGTGTGTTTTCCTCCTGGAACATCCCCTGACCATCCTCACTTCTCCAGGCCCAGGGGATTGTCAGGCCCAGCGAGCTGAATGAGCTGAAATGGCCATGCACACTGACACTGATCCAGCGGACCCAGAAAGAAACTGGGCTGAATCCCAAAGAAAGTAGTCTGACACCAAGTAAGGGCTTTCACAAAAATAGAAAACAAGGCGGCCTCGGCAATGCCAGCCCCTGAGAGGTGCTCCTGGCTGTACCCTTTTTACGACTTTGGGTTCAAGAAAAGGAGGGGAGAGGTGGCTTGTGGCACTCGAAAGCATCTCTTTTTACTGGGAGGGGGAACTGTCTTACAGGGGAAATGACCTCAGAAAGCTCCTGGTGGATCTTAAGCACTGTGAGCAGAGAGACTTTGTCTCGGAAACTCAAGGACGATTTGCTTTCCCCATAGGACCCTGTTCAGGGAAATGCCATGGGAGGCTGGCATTTAGAGGATGGCTAAAGACAAATTTCACTGACTTCATGAATTGGCCAGCCTTGTGTGCACCTTGGGGATTTGGCCCCTGCCCTGAGGCCAGGGCCATTAAAAACGCTTTCACCAGAGCGCCAATACAGAGAAGGGACTGCACGGACGGACGGTGGACGGTGCACGCTGGCAGGAGCCCAAGCCCAAGACTGAGAGTGGAAAGGGGTGGGGGTTGGGGCCTCGGAACCACAGGGAAGAGTCACGGCTCGCCCCCACCCAGCCCCACGGTTGACAGGCTCCCTACCGGGTCTCACAGTCAGCGAGGCAGCACAGGTGGCCTGGCCCAGCTCGTTGGTGGCAGTGGCCATGTAGTTCCCAGCGTCTGCAACCCGGGCCTCCCTGAGCAGCAGGGTGTGGCGCTCACCCTCAGCCCGGAGGAGGAGGCGGCCCTCGCTGTGCAGTGCTGAACCATCCTTGTGCCAGGACACTGTGGGGAGGCACGGGGACCCAGCTTGCCACAGCCCACAGGCACCCACCGAAAATCTCTCACTCCTACCCCACACAACACACAGGAGCCCAAACCTCTCCTTTCAGAACCTCAGGGAATTCAGAGGAGTCCACCCTCATTTCGGGAAGCCCAGGTTGCCCTCTCTTTTCTCGGGGATCCTGGGAAATGTCCCTGAACACACATACCAGTCATGGCAGCCCCCATGGAGGGGATAGTTCCCCTACTTCCCACCCCTCCCTCAGAGGAGTCCAGGGGAACCTCCCTTTCCCTTCTCACATGCCCCCTCCCAACCTTGACCTCACCTCACCTTGGCCCAGCCCTGGAGCTCACCTTGGGGCTGTGGGTTGGCAGTGACGATACACTTGAGCAGCACATCTGTCCCTGGTGCCACCACCACATTTTGCAGGGGGATCTCAAACACAGGGGCCTCTAGGGGCTCTTCTCCAGCAGACACGTAGGAGTCATCCGAAGACTCTGCTGGACACAGGGGTAACGGGGTAAGGGGCCATGATCCCTGCAGGGATGACCGGGGAGAGAGGGAGCCCTGGCAGCCTGTATCCTAGAAAGCCAAACCCAGACAGAGGGGCTTCTAGAAAGCAGGGACTCGGAGAGAAGAGGGTCTGCCTCCTGAATATCCTTAGACAGGGAACAAAGGAATTCAGAAGAAGCATTCTCAAACAGGCCAGGGCAGCCTTGACTCCATGTTAGTCTGGCTGTTCCTCAGCTTCATCTGCAATTAGAGTGTTGGCTTCTGGAGGAAGACAGGACTGCACTGTGTATAGCTTCAATACAGCAGTCACTGTGTATGGTGTCCTAGGCCCTGGCAAGGCACTCGGAGGTGCACAAGATTGTGTAAACTTCCAAGTGGACAGAGGACAAGCTAACAGCAGCCCAAGATTTAAGCAATAACAGTGGTATCACAGGCCAACACGAGGTGAACTGTCAAATGTGTGAAGCCATCAGATTTAAAAGAGGGAATGGCAGGCAGGTCTGAGAGGCCTACAAAAATCAGCTTTGATTTCATCCAATCACCGAACAGTGACCCTGTACTCTCAGCATACTGAGTACTGTATGGGTACCAAGAACACTAGAGGGAGGTCAACGTGGTCCTTGCTTACAGGAAGCTCATACATACTGAGAGATGATAGCACTCCACTGTCATGGATCTCTGGGCATTCTCCAACTCTGACTTTCTGTAAGCTAGATAAAGGACAATGTACACAGCCAAAAAAGCAGTGAGAATCCCAATTCTGCTGTTTTCTAGCTACAAAACCTTGGGCAAATGAGATAGATTCTCTGAGCCTCAGTTTTGTTATCTGTAAGATGGTGGGAATAAGAGCATCTGAAGCTGACATTTAGAGGATGGCTAAAGACAGATTTCACTGACTTCGTGAATTGGCCAGCCTTGTGTGCACCTTGGGGATCTGGCCCCTGCCCTGGGGCCAGGGCCATTAAAAAGGAGAAGGGTGAAATGAAATAAGGTCCTAGTTAACACAATGCTGGCACATGGCTGTGTGTCTGCAGTAATGGTGACCAGGAGGATGATGGGCAGGGGCCTACTCATCTCTAAAGATTCTGAGGTGGTAATACTTAAATGCAAAACAATTTTGATGAAGAAAAACACAGAGTAGTAAGTGCAATGAGAGAGATCCTGGCAGGGTCTCCCAGGAGCAGCAGTCAGAGGCATCTATCCTGGAGGAGCTGTGGAAGTGGGTCAAGGACGGCTTCCTCTACCTGGTTGCAGGCATGGGCCTCGAGATGATGTGCAGGATGAGGGATGGGGTGCAGAGGCATTCTGTTGGTGATGTTGGTCATCACCCTTGGGAAGGTTGGGAGAAAACACACAGGCAGGCATGTGTAGGGACCACAGTCAGCTCAGTCATGCAGGGTGTAAGCCTGGGTGAGGAGGCTAGAAGGGAAGGCTCCCTGGCTACACAAGGGTCAGGGGATGGTGCCTGGTTGGGAGGGGCAGAGTAAAGAGTTCTCTGGCCCAAAGTGTGTCTGTAACAGGGATCTGCAAATTATTTGAGACCATCTACCATCTCTCCTGCACAGAGGGATTGGGGTTATGGAGGGGGTCCTTAGGTTCCCACCAGTGCATTCATCCATTAGAGGTCCTTGATCCGACAACCTGGCAGGCCACTGGACCCAGGGGAGCTATGGTGGGCATCTAGGCACCAGTCTTAGCTCACATCTCAGCCTCACCCAGCCTCCATCACAACAGTCACAGTCGGCCTCACCAGTGGAAGTCCTAGCACAAGGACCTTCACAATCCTTCACTCTGTGTCCACCCTGTGTCCGTGCCTTCTCTGGCAAACCCACCCTTGCAGCTGACTAGCAGCTCTAGGCAAAACCCCCAACCCCCGGCACCTGCTGAGCAGTCTTGATCTCCCCAAACGCACCCCATACCAACCCGCATCCAGGCACCTTGTCAGCCCTCCCTGACGCCTTACCGAGCTCAGGGGAGGTGGGTCGGGCCCGGCGACCTTTGCCCTGGCTGCGGGCCCCTCGGCGGTCCCAGAGCCCCCAGGGACCGTCTTCCTCTGGCCCTCTGCGCAGCCTCTTCTCTGCCTCGGGCCCCGCCCTGTTCTTCTCCAAGGTCTGGGGTACAGCAGCGCCTTCCAGGCCCGGGGTGGCCCAGGGCAGGAAGCGCACGGCCTGCGCCGGGGGCTCCCGCTTCCGACCAGGGGGGGCTTTCGTCCTGGCCTCGGGGGGATCGGCGGCGGGGGGCGGCACGGGGCTCCTGCACTCCTGGATGGCTCTGCTCCGGGTCAGCGGGAATTGGTCCCGACGCCTAACTTCCTGCTGCGGGCCCTCCCCCGGCTCCGTCCTGCCCGCCGGCCCGCGGCTCCTGGGCCTCCCAGGCTCGTCCCCAGGCTTCCCCGCGCTGCTTGGAGGGGGCGGCTGGGTGGCGGCAGGGCTCACTGCCCGCGAAGTCTTGGGGGTGGAGGGCCGAGAGAAGAGCGGGGGCTCGCCGGGCTCTCGAGGGGACGGGGCGCGCTGCAGCGTGGCGCGCAAGGACTCGTGCGAACGCACTAGCTCCTCCCGCGACGTGGAGCGGCGGATGCGGCCCAGCTCCTGGGCGAAGCGCAGCTCGAGGTCGGAGGCCGGGCTGCGCTGCCGTGTGCGCTCGTCCAGCGAGGCTGCTTTCTGCTGGAACAGGCGGCGCCGCTCGGCCACGCTGCCCGGCGCCCGCAGCTCTTCCTGCGAGGCTCCGGGGGTGCCCCACGGCGCGCCGCGCTCCGACTTGGGCTGTTCCAGAGAGCGGGCCTTGCGCAGGGGCACCCAGGGCCGCAGGGGCGCCGGCGGCGAGTCGCTGCGCTCCAGGCTGCGCCGTCGCTCCTCGAAGAACTGCAGCTTGTCCAGGATGCGGGAGCCGGCGCGCACCAGCCTAGGCGAACGGCCCAGCGCCGACAGGCGGCCGGAGGCCTCGCTCAGCGGCGTCTGGGGTCGGGATTCCGCGGTGCCAGCCAGGGAGGGCCCAGACGACTTGGACTTCTTCCCCCGCTTCTCTTCCGCAGTGGTGTCCTCGGGCAGCACTGGCTCCTGAGTGCGGCGGTGGGGTGACGTGGTGGTGGCCGCGGGCTGGGCCGAGGGTCCCGGTGGGGACCGCTTCCCCACCCGAGGGGACGGTGGGGGAAGCAGCGCGGATTTGGAGGGAAGTGGCTGGGCCGGACGGCGCGGGGCTTCGCTGGCCAGCTGAGGCTGAAGGTCGGGCTCCTCCCTGCGCAACCCGCTCTGAGGGACGCTGCTGCAGAACCAAGACGGAGAGGGGTCGAGGATTCAGTAGGCCTCCCCTCCTAGACTCTTAGCTTGTGACAGGGATTGGGTGGTGGGCATGCTGGGCAGGCTTTGGGGTGACATGGGCCAGATCCTCTTCCCCCCGCCCCCACAAGGAGCGCACAGCCAGAGCAGGTGCTGGGGGAGAGGCTGGCTGCTCTGGAACCACAAGACTGGGCCAGTGGCTGGGTCTTGTTATGGACTCAGCCCCAAGACTCGGGCCAGCCTCCTTCCCCCAGTCCTGGAAGCCAAGAAACAGCGGAAACAGAACTAAGCATGAGGGAGAGAAAAGAATGAAGCTTAGGACCCAAAGGATGAATTGGGGAGGAAAGACAAGAGGGTGGGGTGGGGAGGGGCGCCCTCAGGAATGCAGCCTCCCACTCATTCCAGCCCCCAGCTGGTCCCCACACCCCTGCCCATCCTCAGCAGGGCACACCCCCTCCTGGTGGCCCCTAGAAGCCAAGTAACAGCCTCCTGGACCTGGCACAAGCCTTTGGGGAGCAGTGGACTATCTCTAGGATTTCCTGGCTGCTGTGTAGACCTGAGCCCATCCCTGCCGCCACCACCAGCACTGATGGGACACAGCAGGTGGCGACGGGATGCCCAGGATCCTAGTCCCCCTGCTCAGTCTGCCCCCAGGATAGGCCTTTGCCTTGCACTTCCCCTGGGAAAGCTATCTTGAGTGCTTGGAAATCCCCCTGAGAAGCACAGAAGGCCCCCCACAGGGGTATGCTCTGAAATAACTCAGCTCAGAAATAGCTACTAAGTGGGCCTGAACAGGGAGTGTGGGAGAAGAGGAGGAGGGAAGGAGCCGGTCACCCCAGAGTATCCCGTTCGCTTAACAGAGCTTTGATGCCCAAGAGCTGGGTCTGTTTTCCCCATCTGGACCCTCCAGGGGGTAAGGGGGCACATCACACATAAAGATTAGAAAAAAAAAAAAGAAAAGAAAAAGAAAGAAAGGAATTAGAGGTATTTTCATACCTG